TAGCTAATTGCGTCCCTGCATGAAGAAACGCTAGGTAGGAGAAAAGCCTGTAGCTGAGTTTGCAGAAGTGAACCAGTGGTAGCTCAGAGTACAACACAACTGCTGCTTTATTCACTTAGCTCTACAAAAGCATTGCTGAAGTACACTGTGGTCCCAACAAACAGCTGCGAGGTATTTTACAAACCAAGGCAACATACAAGGGAACAGAGTCTAAAAAAGGAAGTTGCAAAATATGTTGACAGCCAAATAAAAGATGGTGTTGCATTGCCTGCCTAAATATCAACCTATTGCCAAATTCTGTCCTCCATTGAAAAGGGTATCTCGCATTCCTACTATAAGTTATTTTGATGGGGTGGGAGGAAATCCCAAGAAAATGTATAGCAAAAATGAAAGTAGTTTGAATAGACGCTGCATATTCATCCTTCAGTATTGACCAGACATTTGGCATTTCAATATAGAAGAAAAGTTTTAGTCACGAAAATTGTAGTCAAATTCCCCAGTGGAATGAATAACAATGTTCAAAGTTCTCAATTCTTTCTTGAGCTAAGCTTCCCCTGCCAATTCAGATCAGTTCTTCATATTCTAGCCTCACTTTTCTTTCACCTTCTCTTTCAATAAGATTGAATTATTGTGATCTTCCTGTGCTTGTCTGAACTGTAAATTCAGATCATGGCCTAATTTTGATTCAACACTTCATTTAAATCTCTTTTTTTTTAACTTTAGTTTACAAATCTTGCTTTCAAGAAGATGCCTTAAACCTATTCGATTTAGAAGGCCAGTGAAGAAATTTGTCTGGAAAAGCCTGTGCTCGGTTCACACTCAAATTTGATTCCAAATCACACACCTCTTCTATCTAATTTCAAGGAATTAGGCTTTTCCAGTGTAGAAATCCACTCTCTTTTTGCCAGATACATTTAATTAGCATGGAAGATGTATGTGCAGTGAAACATGCAAATCCCTTTTGTGAGATCTGCTACATAAAAAAATGCCCAAATATCCTGTGTTAGTCATTTTAACAAGAAGCAGCAAAACTAGCTATGGGCATTTCTCTTTGGGGAAAGAAGGTCTAATACTTAGGCCACCCACATACTGTATATTTCTTTTGTTGCATCTGGGGGGTGGGGTTGGCAAGAGAGATATTCTCAGCAGGTCTGCCTTAATGACCAGACTGGGACAAGTTCAATTCTGGCAACATGAATAAATAGGATTACATGAGGGAGACTGTTTGGGGAAAACAGACACTGAATTCCATTTTTTCAGGTCTCAGTTCATCACATGCATTGGGAGACCTTTTTAGTCCCCTCCTGTTTATCATACAGCTGTGGTGGTAATAATAATAATAATAATAATAATAATAATAATAATAATAATAATAATAATAATAATAATAATAACAACAACAACAACAACAACAACAACAACAATGGTGATTATGATGTGGTGGTCATGATGATGATGATGGAAGGGACCTTGGAGGTCACCTAGTCCAACCCCCTGCTCAAGCAGGAAACCGTATACCATTTCAGACAAATGACTGTCCAGTCTCTTCTTTAAAACTTCCAGTGTTGAAGCATTCACCACTTCTGGAGGCAGGTTGTTCCACTGGTTAATTGTTCTGTCAGGAAGTTTCTCCTTAGTTCTAGGTTGCTTCTCTCCTTGATTAGTTTCCACCCATTGCTTCTTGCCCTGCCTTCAGGCGCTTTGGAAAATAGCTTGACTCCCTCTTCTTTGTGGCAGCCCCTGAGATACTGGAATACTGCTATCATGTCCCCCCTTGTCCTTCTCTTCATTAAACTAGACATACCCAATTCCAGCAGCCTTTCCTTATATGTTTTAGCCTCCAGTCCCTTAATCATCTATGTTGCTCTTCTCTGTACTCTTTCTAGAGTCTCAACATCTTTTTTAACATCGTATTGACCAAAACTGGATGCAGTATTCCAAGTGTGGCCTTACCAAGGCATTGTAAAGTGGTATTAATACTTTACGTGATCTTGATTCTATCCCTCTGTTAATGTGGTACCTTCAACTGTCTAGACTTCCAGAATTCACAGCAATGGCCAGGACAGTTGTGAATTTCTACAAAGTGAAGCTCTCCCTATCTGGATGAGGTCTCCTCCAAAGCTACCAGAGGTTTTGAGAGGTTTGTAATCCACCACTGTATCCTTCCTCCAAAGCCACACTTGGTTGCATCTGCTTCCCTCCTAATCAATGTAGTTTTGGTCTCTGTCATCCACTGTTGTTACTGATGAACTTGGGGTCACTATTTCAATGGCCTCACTCTCTGATTATGGCAGCACAACTCTCCAAGTATTTTCTCTGTTTGTATGAGCTTACGGCAATTTCTAAAGAAGCTGCCTCTTTGCTCAAAATATTTCACCAATCTTCAGTCACCACTTCACTAAATGAGCTAATTAAATGATGTTTTAGGGAGTTTTGTTTTTAAAAGCCATTTCATCTAATCCTTTTCAAAGTGAAGATGGATTTTCCCTAAGGAAGTGTGAACAGCTTCTAGGGGATGTGTTAAGTCTTCTGGCCTGTAAAGAGGTTCTCCATAAGCAAGTTTTGCTATCATTTGCAGAGAATGGCCAGGCTTGGATACAATTTTGTCTTCTTTGACTAAAAGAATAAACTACATTGCTATACCTGCAGGGAAGGTGCATCAAATGTACACTTTAAGGGGAGAGGCTCTATTATTGTAACTCTTCTAATTTAATCTGTTTTATCATAAAGAAATAATACACTGCAGTTTGCTAACCATGCCAAAACTGCCCTGTGTCTAGGACACCATTGGCATCAATCAAAATACTTCCAGAATGGATCTGGGGCACCTTGATTTCTGGGAGAAGGAGCTACTTATAACCCTGATAATGTGTTAAATCACATGATAGTGCTAAAGTTGCCCTAGTCAAAGCACAAAGTCTTTGCATTTCTGATTTAAGAATAGAGTTACAATAGAGTAACTGGGTAAACCTCATTCTTATTTATATGGTGTTCAATGGACTTAATTTCTTTGTAGTTGGAGTTTAGGCTGTAGGCCTAATTATGTTTACTAGACAGAGTAAGTTCTGAAAACAAGAAGCTGTTGATTAAGCATGGATATCTTCCCAGTTCAAATGGCTCAGTCCCTACTTCCAACTTGTGTCTTCTTTTGAAAATGATGTGAGGGTGTTTTCTTTTCCTTTATTCTCTTTGATCTGGCACTAATTAATACACCCAGTGTGCAGAGAGGTTTCTAGATACTAAACAAGTTCTTCCTTTATCTTTCTGATCAGGCTAGAAGGAAACAATATCAAGGTCAGTGATGGCAAACCTTTTAGAGAGCAAGTACCCAACTGGAATCCAAAACCCACTTATGTATTGTTGGGTGCCGGGTGGGCGGATGGGTGTTGCCAATTGGGTGAGTGTGGCCCATTGGGTGGGTGTGGCTGCAGTGGTAAGGCAGACTGGGTGGGACTAAAAAGTTCAATCAGTCAATTCCAACTTTGCGAGATCTTTTTTTTCCCTTGAGAAGTTGAAATTGATTGATTGAACTTTTTTTTTTTGCACACGGTGGCAGAGGCCTAAAGCGAAAAGGTTTTATAAAATCCAGCTGAAGGCCTAGGACTGGGGCGACGGTGTGTGTGCCCACAGAGAGGGCTCTGTGTGCCACCTGTGGCACGCATGCCATAGGTTCACCACCCAGAATGTAGATGCTCATGAAAGACCATCATGGGGAAAGTCACAGATAACTGATAACTTGCTCTATAAATAAGCCCCCATTCTTATAATATTCAGTTGGAGTGAGTGGGGGTTCCAGATCAAGCCTGCAGAACATACAAGCATACAATGACCAGTACAGAACATACAAGCAGTTTTGTGCAGCTTGCCACCGTTTTATTTTTTAAAAAGTCAGTACTGTAAATTCACCACACCCACCTCCAACATGGGCAGCTTTATTGCCTCCAAGCATTACCACCAGTTGGCCACCAAACAGCTGATCAGGCACACCACGTATTCCTTGTTAGCCCATGTTGCTGTTCCAATATTGGCAATCTGGTGCTTTAAGAAAGCCATTAATAAGATATAAGCACTATGATCCTGATATCAGCATTATTGGAAACAATAGCAATCATGTTATGTCTCCTGCACAGCAGGCGTGTAGGAGACTGTGACGGACACAAGGAACCAGAACAAATTCATGACTAGATCAAAGCAGCCTCTTTATTGTTGATCACCTTTATTACAAGAATTTTGCCAGACTGGCTACATTCCCTTGGGAACCAGTAAGGCTTTACTAGTCTGGTCTTTGAGGTTTCCTCCATTGGAACTATGCTGGGACACCTCTTTACCCCTCCTTCTCCTTTAGTCAGTGTTTCCACCAGAGCCTGGCTGATTTGATCCTGCAAGGTTGGCACACTCAGGATTGCTTTGAATAAACAATGTCTTCCTTCAGAACTTGTAAGCATGCTTTCTCTGAAACAGCACCTGTCTTCTGGAAAGAGGTTTCCCTAAGATGGAAATGGTTTCCCACTGCTGTTGTTAAGGACATTCTTTAAGACTGAAGTCCTGGCTTTTCTCCCAAGCCTCTGGCAAGGGAGAGTCCAAGACAGACTCTTGTTTTTATATTTTATGATTTACTGATTTTGTTATAATTTCTTTGCTTGATTGTTGTGAGTCACCCAGAGGCATTGAGAGTTGGGTGGCATATAAATTAATACATTATTACACCAGTAAATAAGAATTTTGTTCTTCAGGAATTTGTCTAATCTCTTTGGAAACTATCTCTGATGATGATGATGATGATAACAATAATAATAATGTTGGAAGGTACCTTGGAGGTCATCTAGTCCAACCCCCTGCTCAAGCAGGAAACCCTATACCATTTCAGACAAGTGGCTGTCCAGTCTCTTCTTAAAAACTTCCAGTGTTGGAGCATTCACAACTTCTGGAGACAGGTTGTTCCACTGATTAATTGTTCTAACTGTCAGGAAGTTTCTCCTTAGTTCTAGATTGCTTCTCTCTTTGGTTGGTTTCCACCCATTGCTTCTTATCCTGCCTTCAGGTGCTTTGGAGAATAGCTTGACTCCCTCTTCATTATGGCAGCCCGAGATATTGGAACACTGCTATCATAGTTATAATTATTGTGTGGTATTGAATTCTTCAGCTACCACCCGAAACTATAGGTGAACAAGTCAGAATCATTACTTATTAATGCATTACCAACGCTTGTTTCTTTTTTGAGAAAAGCAAGGAATGCATTATTGAAATCTTTCTAAAGTTTTTTTTTTAAAAAAAAAAACATTCCATTTTGTCCACTAGATGGTGATCAGAAATATCTTTCCAAATATGTTCAACAGAATACTTTCAGCTTTTTTCTTTGTAGTAAGAATGCTAGATATATTTCTGTCACACAAATTGTTATAATTGTATTGCAGGATAAGGAAATGTCATCTCCAAGAAACATACTTAAAGTGAATTTGAACTGAAACAAGAAGCCAGTTCATGACCTATTTCACCAAATTGTTCAGCACCAATTTAGGAGTTTGCTCCATTTTGCAGTTCCCCAGCAAAATTTATGCAGCAATTGTCAAATCCTACCATTGTGACTTTGCCTTCTGATGTTGCAGATAAAATAGGTTAAGCATTGCCAGTATTTACCTGTCATCATTCCTGTGCACAGATCTCAAGAGAGGCTGCCTGGAGACAAAACAAAAAAGTATAGTCTATTTGGTTCACTTCCATATATTTGCTCACCCAGATCTTTACACAATGGCTACTTTCAATAGGCAATTATCACTGTGTGTAACTCCCAGATTTCCTTTCCCTCTGAATTATTTTTATCTTAATTGCCCACCCAAACAGGGGTGGGTGGATAGCCTTTTTCCTAACTTAGTTTTGTCTTTTTTATATTTCAGGGCTACTTCACAGAAGACATATTTCAGATAAGGAATTCCCCCCCCCCCTAACTCAGTAAATTGCTGAAGATTGTTATTATCCTTTTGTGTATTTTCACTGGGAAGCTGTTTGTGGCTGTGGTTTTTTGCCACATACTTAAACAGCAAGAGAGGTAGAGGAATTTGGTCACATGTTGTATCCTTAGGAACCAAATCCCTTCAGACTTCCTTTGTCAGAGTGATTTTTAATATTTTAAGTAAATTGGAATAATGTCAGCGATAGCCAACATGTTCGCAATGTGCCAATATATTAATTAATATATTCTGCAACAAAAATGAAACCTTGGATTTTAGGGCAATTTCACATGGCCTCTTTAAGCTGCTTACCTGTAGATACCAGCTAGAAATAAGCCATTTGAAGAAATTAATGCCTGGATTTCAAGCTCTGCCAATAATACTGACCAAATGTTCTCTTCAGACATAGTTACCAGTTAGCATACCATTTGTGGATTCTCCTTGGCCTTTGTCCTTCCCTCCCATGCAAGGAAAGCAAACATTTCTAGATGGGTCTTTAAGGATGTATGTTTTCCACTGATAGACCTTTTGTAAGAGCCCAGCTCTGTGGGCTTCCCTTCCCATTTGACACCTTCCTATTGGGTATGTCCACTGATAATGGAGAAAACACCATCACAGTTCACCCAGAAGGAGAAACTGAAAGAAATCTTGCCAAATTAACCTTTTTCTAAGTCCCTAGGAAGGGGGGGGGGAGGGATAGAAATAGAGAGAAAATATAGCCATTTTATCATTCTTCCTCTCATCCCCACTAGACAGGAAACTGGAAGAATCATTGTCAATTTCACCTGAAGGAAGGAAGGAAGGAAGGAAGGAAGGAAGGAAGGAAGGAAGGAAGGAAGGAAGGAAGAAAGAAAGAAAGAAAGAAAGAAAGAAAGAAAGAAAGAAAGAAAGAAAGAAAGAAAGAAAGAGAAAACATAGTTTTATCTAACTTCCTATCACTTGGATCAGAGGGGAAACTTCAACTGGTATTTTTTAAAAAAGGAGAGGGAAAACCAGCCTTTCATTAGTCCAGAATCCCTGGATAAATTGACCATAGAGGGCAACAATTGATGACCAGAGGGAAGGGTCATTCCACCTCAGCACACAGTAGCCAGTCAGAGCAGAGATATTTACCTACTAGGAAATGAAGGGCACCACACAGACCATACAGCAGGCCCTGTGCTGGTGGAGCTTGTCTTTGCAATGAGCTGGGAGCAGGACAAGGATAGCATTGTGGATTTCTCTCTTTGTGGGCCTTCCTTGCACCGGGAAGCAGGCCATGCAGGTGAAAGCATGTTCTGCTTGTTTCAGAACAAGTTGGTACAATCTAGAAAGGCAGATATTCCAAGCCCCTTAACAGAAGACTGCTACCTTTCTTAGATTGTTCTCTCACTTAAACAAATTAAGATCTCTCAAACTACATATTGCTTGAACACTTTGGGTATGATCTTCATAGCAAAGAGTGCTGTTCCATGGAACTCCCATTCCTGATTCCAAGCATTTTTCCTTCATTGGTTTCACTTTTAAGCTTGATTTCTCCCCTACCATCACCTCCCGATTTGCAGATAGCTGACAAAATGAGTGCCCCTTGCGGCCCATCTTCAGGCTACTTAGTGCAGTGCTGGAACTAGGGATAAAAGGGAATTTGTGGTAGGAGTTCACAGCAGCTGTTAGACATAATTTTCCAATTTATTGTGTTCTCATGTTATTTCACATGTATGATGGCACTGAAGATGCAAATGAGAGAGCAAAATATGAAAATGAATGTGAGTAGATTCATTTCTGCTGAAGGCCTGGAGACTAAAACATATGAAGAAGGGTTTCAGGAACTGGGTAGGGCCAGTCTAGAGGAAAAAAAGACTAGGGGGGGGGCATGATAGCAGTATTCCAGTATTTGAGGGGCTGCCACAAAGAAGAGGAGGTCAACTTATTTTCCAAAGTACCAGAAGGCGAGACAAGAAACAATGGGAACTAATCAAGGAGAGAAGCAACCTGGAATTAAGGGCAAACTTTCTAACAGTGAGAACAATTAACCAGTGGAACAGCTTGCCTTCAGAAGTTGAGGATGCTTCATCACTGGAAGTTTTTAAGAAGAGACTGGACAGCCACTTGTCCCAAATTGTATCGGGTCTCCTGCTTGAGCAGGGGGTTGGACTAGAAGACCTCCAAGGTCCCTTCCAGCTGTATTCGGATAGATTGATAGATGAGAAAAGGAGGAAGAATAAGAGAGAAAGAAATTGAGGGCAGGGGGTAGGGAGGAGAAGCTGTTCAGAAGATGGTTGAAGGAATGATTGAATGCTTATTCTGCATGGAGCTGACATTTTCTCAGCAGATTGTACTAGCTGGAAGCTCCCATGTTCCAGGCATCCATAAGGCATCAGGCCATGTTATATATTTAGTTTGTCAGCCAACAGACTGCCCTTCATCCACTGTCCCCAAGCTGCTTGACTAAATGCCAGGATTCCTCCAGGATTAGAAAGTGATTTCGGGGTAGCAGCCAAAAATAAAAACGGCAACGCCATATTCTTCTGTTTACTGGCTTCCATGAAACTGGCCCCTTCCCCATTTCTGTTGCTCAGTGAGACAATTATGTGAGTTTTGCCCCGTTTTATGACCTTTCAATTGTTAAGTCAATCACTGCAATTAAGTTAGTAACACGGTTGTTAAGTGAATCTGGTTTTCCCATTGACTTTGCTTGTTGGAAGATCACAAAAGGTGATCACATCTCCCGGGGACACCGCAACCGTCATAAATGTGAACCAGTTGCCAAGCATCTGAGTTTTGATCACATGACCATGGGAATGCTGCAACGGTCATTAGTGCGAAAAATGATCCTAAGTCACTTTTTCAATGCCACCGTGAAGTGGTATATAATTAGGCTATTGCTATTGTAACTTTGAACAAATGGTTGTAAGTCAAGGACCACCTGTCCTGTGTCTTCCTGCCTTCATCTGGCCATCCTAGTAAGCATTTTGGGTCTAATGGAAAGGATCAAGTTACTTATCTTATTCTCAGGTCAACGACATTCTCCTAGTCTAGCTAGAGTAAACTCTGTTATCAGTCTTTATACATTTTGGCACTTCAGGGGCTGTAAAGGACTGGCTACTGATAACATGCTTGAAAAAAAAAAGAATAATCACACCCTCCCACAGAAACAGGCCACATATATATCTACAGTATAAAATGGGCTGGCTAAGAGAAAATTAAAGTCTATGTCAGGCTCCTGTCCAAGAAGAGAAACTGGTGCTATCTTGGCACAGGATGCTGATGGCAGTATAATCCACCCGTCATTATTTCTTCTCTGTGGGTTTCTGCAAACTGGATTTTGCATATAATGAACTCAGTGGCAGTGAAGCCCTCTCCTTCGCCCATTTCCTGCCTCTCAGATGCTACTGGTTTAAAGCTTGGTTCTCACAGAATGAGGTACTACAGTACACCAAACCTTTCAAAGTGCTCTGTTTCAACCATAGGCTTTCTGAAATGCTTCTTTTGGATGTGGGGATGAAAGCTCGAACATCAGGTGTCCTAGAGGAAATTTCAGTCTGAATTTTCATGTAGTTTTGCTGACTTCCTACTTGCAGGGAAGTTTGTTGTCCGTTTTCTAGAAGGAAGTATTCAAAAATAGGATCTGGAAAAGAAATGATACTATTCAATTCAAACAGCTCATTGGGCAGCACATGTACATCTTGTTCAATTTTCCCCTGGTGGCACCCAGATGTGCTAATATTATAACTCACAGAATTTCCAGGCAAATTCTGGTTGAGAATTCTGGAAAATTTAACTCCAGAACATCTAGAGAAGCATTTGATTCAGGAAGGCTAATAAAGACTCAGAATGCAAAGGATAAAAAACAGATCGCAATGCAGCACTGACACTATAAACTGGAAGGCATTCCTTTGGTGTAATCAACTTTCCATCCTTCTAAAAGTTTTTATTTCTAAACCACCATGAAATGCTAAGTGTTTGACAATGCTTTTTCCCTGCTTTAGTTTTCACTGCAGACAGGAAATGGTAGAATATTATTCTGAACTGTGATACTGTAATTTGCAAATAATCATTTGCAATAGTTTTCTATCTTTTATTTTCTCTTAAAGGCTTTAGAACTCTTTTGCTTCTCCAACAGGCTATGACAGTTCAAGGCTTATTTTTTAAAAAAAAAGTTTCTGCAGGCCTTTGTTAGAAATGTATATAAAGAAGCTCTCTCTCTCTCTCTCTCTCTCTCTCTCTCTCTCTCTCTCTCTCTCTCTCTGTGTGTGTGTGTGTGTGTCTCTCTCTCTCTCTCTCTCTCTCTATATATATATATATATATATATATATATATATATATATATATGTATATATATATATATATATACACATACATATACACCTTATAATTTATTTCTCACAGAAGCAAATCTGAGTAGCACACAAGAGTCAGTAAAACAGCATAAATAAAGTCAATAAAAATACATAAAGCAGTCATTGCAAAAAGATAAAGGCATTATTAAAAAGATTGTCTTCATCATCATCATCATCATCTTAGCCATTGTCTATCTACTGCAGGATGAAGGCCTCATCCGCATGTTTCCAACCAATACGGTCCTGAGCTTTCTTTGCCACTTGGGCCTGCAATACTTGCTGATGTCATCAATCCATCTTGTTTTAGGTCTCTTTCATGGAGGCTTTTTATCACGTGGGAACCATTCTATGACTACTTTGCTCCACCTGCCATTAAGAGATGATGTTGTTCTCTTCTCACCAAGACCCAGAAGAGCTACAAAGACACATACAGTAGCTGCACAAAGCAGAAGAACCATTTGGCTTAAAAATACACTTGAAAAAGAGCCAGGTTATGTTTAATAAATTCATGAAAGAAAGAAAGAAAGAAAGAAAGAAAGAAAGAAAGAAAGAAAGAAAGAAAGAAAGAAAGAAAGAAAGAAAGAAAGAAAGAAAGATGTATGTGTATATGTATGTATGTATGTATGTATATATATATATATATATATATATATATATATATATATATATATATATATATATATATATATATATCTGAGAAGAACTAGACTTAGTAGACCACTACACATACCTTGGCCAACAGACCTCAATGGAAGATGATACAATAAAGGAAATTGAAGAGCGTGTTACATGTGGTTGGCAGGCCTTCAGCAAGCTAAGCGTAATTTTCAAGAACAACCTCCCCCCTATGCCTGAAGAAAAACGTTTTTGATCAGTGTGTGCTGCCTCCTCTAACATATGCCAGTGAAACATGGACACTAACCTCACAATTGACACAAAAGCTTCGAGTGGTACAAAGAGCCATGGAAAGATACATACTCAACAATACAAGAGAGGGTAGAAAGACCTGCCTAAGATCCCAGCCTATATATCAGAGACTTGGATGATCTTTTTAAATCAAGGTAGAAGCAGCAGGCTTTTTGCCTAGGCCCAATTGCCTCTGCAGAAAGGTGAGGCAGCCGATTTGCCATTGAAGAGGAAAGAATTAATCCTGATCTCACCACTTTCTATATGGCAATTAGGCTTAGGCAGAAAAAAAAAGGTGTCAATGGACCTGAGAGTCTGATCCCTTCAGCATCCTCCATGCCACAATTATGCTTGAAGGAAGAAAGTCCTCTTCTATTAAAAGCAATGGGAGCTTTTTAAAAGCCCAGTTGCAGGAAAACACCATACCTGTTCTCCAAAAGAAAAGAGAAAGGAAGGGATAAGAAGGTCAAAGACAAGGAAAGAAACACATTTACTGTTCAAGAATAAAGGATCAGGCAGAAGGCCCTTTCCTAAATATCTTAGTACAGGAGTGGGCAACTATGACAACTTTATGACCTGCAGACTTCAATTCCCAGAATTTCTGAGCCATCTCAGGAATTCTGGGAGTTGAAGTCCACAGATCTAGTTGCCCACCCTGTCCTAGTAGAACAGAATGTATATTTGTACTACAGCACCTTTTTTATGCTCTGGCTTGCTCTACACATCTGTATAGATTAGAGATCTCCAAACTTTTGGGCACCAGGGACCGGGGCCATGGAGAAAGGTTTTTCCATGGACCAGAGAGGGTGTGGTTTTGAATACTGCCTGCATCCCAAGGATGGAGCTTTGCTTGTTTGTGCGGCCCGCTTGCTGGCATGCTGCGGACCGGTGACGGTCCACAGACCAGGGGTTGGGGACCCCTGGTATAGATCATACAAAGGGAGAAAAAAGTTCTTTCTTTTGTATGGATGTGATTTCCATTTGTGTGCTGTAAAGAAAGAAAAGAATCACAAGCTTCAGAGAAAAGGGGACATCCAATGTAATGGCTACTTTTTATCTTCTTGCTCTATCTTTCCTGTCCTTGCTTAGCCTAACCTCCTTGTTTCAGCTTCCCATTCTTGCTTCATAATAAGCTCCTTCCATTCTCTGCATTTCTTCCTCTCATCTTTTGTTCCACTTTCCACTTTTGCTTTTCTTTAAAAAAAAAACATGCAATTATATCAAGCGGCCTTATGTCTAGGAGTATCTGCATGTGGTCAAAAAGATCAAGGTGGCAGCCATGGGGGGGGGGATTGAAACTCTGTGATGCACATAAAAACAGGCAGAGCTTTTTCTGCACTGTTGTAACCATTTTGACTTTTTGGATCCTATCCTGTGGGACATCAGGGTAGCCTGCATCAAATATGATGGCTACACAGATATGCCGGTGTTACTTCCTTGATACTAAGGCAGTGTTTCCCAAATTTGGGAGCTTTAAAATGTACAGACTTCAACTCCCAGAATCCCCCAGCCAGCCATGCTGGATAGGGAATTCTGGGAGTTGAAGTCCACACTTCTTAAAATTCCTAAGGTTGGGAAACATTGCACTTAAGAGATTGTCATTGCTTTCCTGCAGGATGATTTCTTCTCTATCTGTAGATTAACCACCTCTTTTCTGAATCAACCAAGGTCAGCTAGGCACTGCCACCTGCTCTGGTCATTTTTAGCTTACATTACATTTATGATGATTGTCATGTATGAAAGAGATAATTCCAGAAAAAACTTGATGAAATGCTGAAGCTGAACCTAACTAAGAAATGAAAAACTGAGTGACTTTTCCTCAGTTAAATTAAGCTTGCTTTGGGATTAGTTCTGGTCAACTGCATAAAGTTCCAGTTACAGCAAAAGTTATTATTTTTAAATAGACATCCTGGGCTTCCTTTTATCTCATTATTGTTTATGCTTTTGTTTTTAATCCTTTGTTGTACCATCCAGAGTCACAATTGTGGGAGGCTGTATACACTGATGTACTAAATAAAATAAAAAGAAATCTTGAAATCTACAATTGCCAGCTTTATTTAAACCTTGATTATTCACAGTATTGTTCACCCCATGTTGTTTTTACAACATCCCTGTGAGGAAAGCTGAGCTCTGATATAGGAACTAGTAAACCTGAGATGAGGCTAAACCAAAGATGTCTCCCAGCTGGACTAGAAAATCAGAATGAGTTTCTTTAATATACAGTAGCATTCCCCAGCCTCAAGTCCCTGTTGAGCTTCTTATCTCCATGTAGCTTTTCTTTGGAACAAGACTGAAGAGGCTTCCCTATGCTGACTTCTAGTGGTGATGATATTAATTTGTGAGCCCACCCTCCAGTCTTGGATTTCTTGGTGGTCTCCTTCCCAAGGAGAAACCAACTCAAGACGACGCTCACTTAGCTTTTTCAAAATCAACTTAAGAGAGGCTTCCCTGTCTTGGACACAACTTTTACGTAATATTTATTGCATTTCTCTCTTGGAGCTCAAAGGGAAAGTTTACTTTTTAGCATCAAAAGCCCCGGCGGAGGCAGATTCACCTGAGATCTATTGGCCACTCAAGACGTCAGGGGGAGTCACAGCTGTTGCAAACCGAAACTGATTTGGGTCGAAGGAACGACGTAATTAGTTCCTTTTTGAGCGTTTTGACGGGGAGAGATTATTTAGCTAGCTTTGCCTAGGGCGAAGCGTTAAAACCTGTTTGTTCGACATTTGTACGGGTGTTGCTTTTTTTTCTTCCCCGGATAAAGCAAGCGAAAAGGGCGGGACAGCTTTGTACTCTACCCCAGGAGCCGGAGCTCAGGATCCACCGCCCTCCAAGAGGTAAGAGCGCGGCCGGGCTTTGAGCCACCCACCAGCCGCTTCCCCAGGCCCGGATCAGGAACGAGCAAGGCAGGTCGAGATCGCTCCTGGAGTGAGGCGGGGAAAGCCAAAGCTAGCTGGCGGGAGGAGAAGGGGAGGAGTCCGCCGTTTTTATTCCCTCGCCCTGCGAGCGCGGCCAAAAATAAAAAATAAAATAAATCGCCCACTTTCTCCTTTGCTTCGCCGTCTGCCCTGGCCCCCCGTAGAGCGTTGAGTACCACAGCCCGAGCTGGGGAAACCTCGAGAAAGCCTCCCTTGGGCTGGACTCCGAGTTGGTGGCGGCTCCTCGCGTGGCGGGGCTGCGTGGCTGAATGCCATTTGCTGGCCGTGCGTGGAAGACCAGCGGGGTGGGGTGGGGGGGGAGCGAGCGAGCGAGCGCCTCTGGGGAAAGGGGTGGGGGAAAGAGGCTCAAAGGAGCCCCTAAAGCGCAGGAAGGGGCCCGGTCGAAAGGCGACGCTGCCCGCCTCGCTTGTGAAGCCTTTCCCTTCCTTGGGTCCCCTTGTGAGCGACAGGCCGCGCCCCTCAGTGCAAGGTCTCAATGATGGTCTCCCGCATCCAGCGCGCCCCCCCACACACACACACACGCAACTATGGAGCCCCCTTCCCGTCTCGATGACCGTTCCCCTTCTGCTCTCCACGTTAGCTCGCCTCTGCTTTTCAGTTCCGGGCAGTCTCGCCTCTCCTGCTTGTGTTTCTCTCTTTGCTCTGCTTTGCTAAAGCCGAGGGGACCTCCTTATTTTCCTATTTCCAAGAGTCTGGGTAGAAAAGAGCCGGCTTCTTGTTTCATCTTCCGGAAACTAATCGCTTGGCAGCTACCGTTATCAGTCTATGGGAGTAATCTGCACGGCGTTAGATAAAAGAGGGCCGTTGACTGGGGCTCCGCTTTCTGAAGTGTGCTCAGGTCTGATTTGTGGTTGCATGGGTGCCGTTTAAAGCGACAGTATAGCGAACGCCCCATCGGATTGAAGTGCAAACTGAAACCTGTTCGGGATGAATGGCGGTCTTAGTGTTGGTAGCGGTATTCCTTCACCTGCTCCTCGCTTTCCACTTACTGCACCCACCTGGATTACTTTAATGTAGGCTGTGTTGCCTTGACCCACTCTGTTGTGGCAACCTTGCCTCAGCAGTCGACTTTAGGAGGGAAAAAAAGTTTCCAGTAAAAGGTTTTACGTTTCCATACTGCCAATTTATTTATTTGTTAAATTTATTGCTGCCTATGTTGTCTCTGGGCTACAAAAAGGAAGAAAAATGAAAGGAGTGTAAACAGAAGTGAAATAACAGAACAATAAAATAAACAATGGCAAAACAGGAATACAAGGAGAATAATACATCAATAGAGTAGGAGAGGTAATTTAAAAAAAACACACACTTTTTTCCATTAATTGCTTTCCCACCATCCTCTATTAACAAGATTTGTAAAAGGAACTGTTTGAGGCTGAGCTCTGTTCCTGATGACTTCATGGACATAATTCTGTTGGCAAAAATATGGGAGTTATTAGCCCCTGCTCTTTTCCAGGATACTTTTTTTTTTAATTTTCCAGTCTTATGGATTCCTGGTGGTCCCCCATTCAAGCATCAAATCACATCCCTGTTATTATTTTTTAATTCACAAAGGACAGCTAGATGCTGGCATCTGAACAAGGCAGATGCAAAATACTTAACTGCCTGAATGGTGGATTAAACTGTTGTGGAGAAAATTATACCTGTCAACTATGATTTCATACCTGTTGTGAACAGTTAGTGGATTAGAGTAGGGAGGTATGAAATTTTTCAGCCGCTCAGTGAAAGTAATATGAGGGAAAAGTTGAGCTTTTGAATGAAGCACTCCATTGATTCTTGTCTTGCCTCTAAATGTGTTTATTGTGCCATAAACTACTCTTCCTAATTTGGTAAACTCAGGATTTGTTGAGACTACAAATTTTAGGCCATCCTGGCTGGCATAAGCTTTTATGGATGAAAAGCTTCTTTTAAGATTTTTTTTAAAAATCCTCCATATGTTGTTCAACTTACTCAATGTTTCTCTGCCATCAATTCTTAAATGTTTTCTAACTTTTTAAATGTGATCACAAAATAGAGTAAATTATCAGACGTCAAACATTCTCTACTGCACCTCTCTTGATAAGAGTTTGCCTTATGCCTGTCAGTATCTCTTACAAACAAACATCTTTCTTTGCCTAAACCATGTTCCTCAACTTTGCCAGCTTTAAGATGTGTGGACTTCAACTCTTAGTATTCTTCAGTCAGCATGCTGAGTGAGAGTTAAAATCCATACCTCTTCAAGCCGCCATAGTTGAAAGACACTGGTCTAAACTAATTACTGTGAGCTAGTTTAGCGTGGTGATTAAAGCACCAGGATAGAAACTGGAATACAGCAAGTTCTAGTCCAGGTGTAGGCAACCTTGGCTCTTTTATGACTCGTGGACTTCAACTCCCAGAATTCCTGAGCCAGCATAGCTCAGGAATTCTGGGAGTTGAAGTCCAGGAGTCATAAAAGAGCCAAGGTTGCCTACGCCTGTTCTAGTCCTACCTTAAAAACAAAGCAAGCTAGATTACCTGGGGCCAATCGCACACTCTCAGCCATAGGAAGCTGGCAAGGGCAAAATCTGTTCTAAAATCTTGCCAAGAAAACAACAGAAACTTGTCCAAGTAAATGCCAGGAATCAACACTGACTAGAAGGCCAAAACCAAAAAAAAGCTAATGATTAAAAGAGCATATGTTTATATTGGTTGTTACACATGACAAAATGCCGATGGCCAGGTTAACAGTAAGTTTACAGAGTAGAATTTTGTGAGAAAAGTTGTAGTTCTCAAGTGTTTGCCTTTGTTAGGAAACTTGTTTCAAAAACTTCTTTTAAAAAAAGGGACAGTAGCAATAAGGCAGATTTTATATCCTTAGTTTCAAAGGAAAAAGTTGAAAATGGCTCCATTTACTGTTTTTTCTCCTAGTTGGTAGCAGTTGGCAGGAGGATACATGGATTGATTCTAAGTTTCATTGTTCTTAAGAAGTACATTAGCTACTTTGGCACCCACATTCTCCCTGTATATCAGAATGGCTCTGTGGTAATATTTAATTACTTCTGGAATATGATGAAGTTCTCTTGGCCAGTTCATTGCAGTATATAACTCATATCACCTGCAGCATTGCCTGTACATAAGAATTTGTGGTGATTTTGGCCACCAGATCTGGTGGGGGAAAGTGTCGTACTGTCTTCAAGATCTCCAAAGGGTCCCTCAGATTCAGAGAAGGTAAAAACCGAGGAAAGAGTATCAGATATATTTTGGTAACATGTAAGGGCAGAAGAGGTTAAAGATCAGATGCAACAAATTGCTTAGTTGAAGTTAATGAATGTATGTATCAGTTATCTTTCCATTTGCATTATAGTCTTTATGGTACACTTTCTTAATTTTTATTCTAGCCAGAGAAAACATGCATTTATTACAGGAATGTGATCTTTTGCCCTAAGAATATTTAAATAGTTTTCCCTATACACCTTGAAATAATCCATTTCCTAAAGTAAAAAAAACAAAGGCCAAATAGGCTGAAGGAGGCAGCAACATAGAGTGTTAAATTGTCTCAACCTTATCTTTGTTTTAAAAAGAAGTATTAAGCTTTACTGGGCTGATCACAATAAAGTTCAGTATTCGGACAGTGCTATTTTGAAAGTCCTAAATATACATATAGCAAAAAGTAAAGGAGCCAGAAACACTATAAAGAGGGCCAACTCAAACACGGGTTAATACAGAAATTCACCGTATTGAGCAAGCAGGAATTAGACTACACTAGTAATTATATGAGGAAGCAAGCTATATATTACTAAAACTCTCATCACGATCTTTACCTGGACAAAGTAATGCATCATAGGGCAACAATTTTTGAATCAGGGTACCACAAGTGAGCTAACTTACAGAATGTGCCCAAAATCTGGAGAGGCGGCTGCCGCCTGTGTCACTGGGCAGCTGCTGCAGATGTGATCTGCATTTTCAACAATCTATATGACATTTTCCCTGTCAGCCTCATTCCCCCCACCCACCACTTATCACCACTTACCTGCTTAATGGAAAGGGGAGGGCCACCTCTTGCTCACCCCAATGTTGATCCAAGCCCAGAGAACCCAGTAAGATCCAATCAAGTTTACTCTTTTATTTGCTTAACACCTAAGGGCCAGAGTCTTGTCAAACTAAAGCTAGAACCTTCTAACCTACTAGATATATCCTGACAGATTCTAGGGTATGGCTACCCTGAACCTCTTCTTCCCTCCCTCATCCAGCTTGGTACTGTGCAGTCTCTTAATCGGGGCCTGTCTCTGGGAAAAGCTGTGTGTTGCCAAAGCCCCGATCCACTGAATCTCCAAGTGTATATTCCATCCCTTAACCCACAAGGCACCTCCTGCATGCCTCCATGCACCCTTCTCCATCCACATCAGCCCTGACATGCGCAGCACCTCTTATGGGTACTCCATGCACCATTCCCAACTCATGCCAGTCTCCTGTGCACCATCTCTGAGCTCTATGGCACTTCTTGCACTCTCCTAAACGCACCCAGGCAACTTTTCCAATCCACAGTGTCACCACCCACACACCATCCCTGACTTGCACAGCACCTCTCACATACCCCCATTCATTCTTCTTGACCTGTGCCATTCCCTGCCTGTGCATCCTGCTTGACCCATGCAGCACCTCTTACACATCCTCATGACCCCCATGCACCCTTCTCAGCCTCTGCTATCAACTGCCCTCCCATGTGCCCTACCTCAGAGTTCCCCAACCTTTTGGGGCACCAGGGACCGGTTCCGTGGAGAGAGGTTTTTCTGCAGACCAGAGGTTTTTTGTGCTGCCTGCATCTTGTGGATGGGGCTTTGCTTGTTTGTGCAGACCAGTTGCTGGCATGCGCGGCCCTGACCAGTGGTTGGGGACCCCTGTCCCACCTAACACACATTTTGTGGATACCAGACAGCACCCTTCCTGACCTACACTGCCCACCTGTCTACCCTCCCCAATCCCATGGCATCTCTGGCACACACAACATGCCCTTCCCAACCCTGCAACAACTCTCACGCAGCCCCCTAGGTACCCCCTCATCCCTCTTCCACCCAGCAGCAGCCACTGGCCTTGGACCGGTAGGTTCCTCCTGGCTTCCCCACTCACTTTCTTTCTGCAAGCTTCCCACAAACAAAGTAAATTTTTGCAAAATACTTTCAGAAAAAAATCCACAATGAGAATTCTGGAAAACGTTTTAGTTTGTCCTCCCAGTTTAGCAAATATTTATATCAGTTGTCAGATCATCAATCAGTAACTTCAATATTAAGACACAGTATTTGTGTCATTGAAATCATAGCTGATCTGTGAAGGTTGAAACAATACAGAAATTGGGTAACTTAAGAAAAAAAAAGCAACATGAGGCATCAGTCATATATTACCTCTTATTAGGAATTAATAGGGGGATTGATTTTTGTTTTTTACTGTTACTGGGCAAATTTCCAAGAGATTTAACTTTGAAGAACGCCAAAGAGATGGGACTTCAGATCAATTAAGCCTCTCTTATCTGATTACTCATAATGAGCAGGACCAAGCGTCATGGAAAATACGATCAATTCTACCCAGGTCTTTTTGTAAGCAATGGAATAGGTAATTTTACAACAAAAGTAGGAAACAGGAAATCTGAATTTCCACAAATCTCTTTTTGACCCAGTTTTATTATCTAATGCAGCTGAGGCATCCAAGTTTCCAGATCAGTCCACATTTTGAATTCAGTCCAATAGAAGCTTTCATTAGTAAAAAAAAAAAAAAAAATCTCTCTCTCTCTGAAAGCCTTTCTGGCTGAAGAGCAGAGTATAATAAATGCTCTAAATAATATATAAAAGGCAGAAATGTATTGATTGCTAGCTAAGTCCATATTACTTATTTATCATCAGTTTTTCTAACTTTTCCATAGGAAGATGGTGGAATGAAATGTACCTTCACAGCAGCCCTTCAGTGTAGGTCACAAATACAGGTAGCCCTTGACTTATGACAATTGAGCCCACCATTTTGGTTGCTAAGTGAGACATTTGTTAAGTGAGTTTTGCCACAGTTGTTAAGTGAATCACTGCACTTGATAAGTTAAGTGAATCTGGCTTCCCCATTGACTTTGCTTGTCAGAAGCTTGCAAAAAGTGATCACATGACCCTGGGACACAGCAACGGTCATAAATATAAACCAGTTGCCAAGCATCTGGATTTTGATCACATGATCATGGGGAATGCCGCAAAGGTCTTAACTGTGAAAAACCATCATAAGTCTCTTTTTTCAGTGCCATTGTAACTTTGAATGGTCACTAAATGAACTCTTGTAAGTTGAGGATAACCTATATTTTTATTTTACCGCCATACCAAATGAATTCTGAGAGAAAAGAATTCCATGAAGCTATTACTTCATCAGTGACAAAACCTGAGCCCAGGTTTAATCGATCCAGGCCTGCGCCCTTGTAATTCTCTGGTTCAGAAATGAAAGGTCCAAATTTATAGCAAGAAACTAGTTAAGAAAGGCTAAAATGATCTTTTGCTAATGGATAAAGTAGTTGAGTTCTGAAATGGGAGAATGAACTTGTAATACAGAATTTAAGTAGGCAATGTCAGTTTAAATTGCTCTTTGCTACAGTGTTTTTTGGGGCAAATGTGAGATGAAATTGTTATTACATTTACCTGAAAGATAGACCACATTTTCTCTCCAAATAAATTACCTTTAAACTTGATAATTTTTCAGTTTGCTAAAAATATGGTGACAGAAGCAGCTGGGGGCCTTTAAATCCATCCCCTTTTCAGATTATTATCAAAAGCTCAATCAATGCTCCCCAAAAATAATTTAAGAGAATCCTTTAAGATCTAAAGAGAAAAAAGTATTTTGCACACTAACTGAAAGATATCCAAGTTTCCGTATCAATATTAAGGCCAAGATAAACAGTTGAATCAACTATGAAATACTTCTGATTTGCCGTACTGGTAATAGTTTTTTTTTACTATTACTTGCTGCATCTTTTCACATTTTTATCATGTTATTCCTATAGTACTTATTGCTTTATTGAAAAAAAGAACAGAGATCACACAAAACATTACAAAGGTCTTTCACCTGGATAAATGTTGTTTATTGATTGCATAAATTAAGCAGTTCATCAAAAATTTAGATAGCTTATAAATTACAATTAAAAGACTGCTATGTTGTCAAAGGAATATAGTTGTCCCAGTCTTAGTGATTCATCAAGTAAAGATTTGTTTAGAGAAAGTTGTTGTTGTTGTTGTTGTTGTTAATTGCGAAATCGTGTCCGACCCATCGCGACCCCTTGGACAACGTTCCTCCAGTTCTTCCTGTCCTCTACCATCTTCTGGAGTCCATTTAAGTTCACACCTACTGTTTCAGTGACTCCATCCAGCCACCTCATTCTCTGTCGTCCCCTTCTTCTATTGCCCTCAATCTTTCCCAGCATTAGGCCCTTCTCCAGTGAGTCCTTCCTTCTCATTAGGTGGCCAAAGTATTTGAGTTTCAACTTCAGGATCTGGCCTTCTAAAGAGCAATCGGGGTTGATCTCTTCTAGGACTGACCAGTTTGAACGCCTTGCAGTCCAAGGGACTCGCAGGAGTCTTCTCCAGCACCATAGTTCAAAGGCCTCAATTCTTTTCCGCTCAGCCTTTCTTATGGTCCAACTTTCACAGCCATACATTGCAACTGGGAAAACCATGGCAGAATCAATTATCTGGGTAGAAAAACATTTTCCAAAAGCAGTTATTTCCCACCCCTTAATCAAAAATGATATGGATTAAAGAATTGGTCTATGAAAAAGGATTTGGAGGTAATTGCCTTTGTGAATTTCTTGGGAATTAGATAGCAACTCAGGGAAAAGGCGGCACACTAAGTTTTATTTCCTTGACTAGAGAAAAAAGTGGGAAGGGGTCTAACTTTAAATCTTTTAATAAAATGATAGATTGTGCCTCCCTTAAGAATCAGTGGCTTCCTGGCATCTGCTGTTTGGATGAGAAGGGAGACAAAGGGGATTGTGAGAATGGATAGAATTCTAGTTCCCATCCACTTTGGGTTCATGGTTTCATTCGATAAACCCACACGTACAAAACATGCACCACGGCCCTCCACCTATTTCCCTTAAGTACATGGCTTTCTAAAAATATTTTTCCCAAAGTGACAGTTGATTTAATAATATAATAAATAATAATTTATTTATCATGTACTAATAAAATTGATAACTGTTATTTACATAGATGTGATAGATAGACAGTAAACACATTTTAAACCTCCATGTTCAATAGGTGTGTCCAAAATGATATTTATACACATGAGGATATTCAATTTTGAGAATTGTCAATAAAGGTAATAGTGAGCCAATTGATCTTCACACTACAGACTGACAATGCTTCATTAATTTTGTTGCCATGATAATTCTTTTAAATACTGTACTGGGGATCCAGTAGGATCATTCTACAGTATCTTCTCCAGTGTTTTGTAATAAAGACCCTCGCATTGTACAGCTGGTCCTTGACTTGCAACCATTCATTTTGTGTTGGTTCGAAGTTACGACGACATTGGGGAAAAAAGTGACTTATGACCGGTTTTCACACTTACAACCATTTCAGCATCTCCATGGTCACGTGATCAGAATTCAGACGGTTGGCAACTGGCGTGTGTTTATGACAGTTGCACATGTCCTGGGGTCACGCGATCACCATTTGTAGCTTCCAACAAGCAAAGTTAATGGGGGAAGCCAGGTTCGCTTAGCGATTGCCTGATTCACTTAACAACTGCAGTGAGTCACTTAACAACTGTGGCAAAAAACAAAGATGAAATGGGGCACAACTCACCCGACGACTATCTTGTTTTTGGGCTCCGTTGTAGTCAGAACTTGAGGACTATCTGAAATGCCCAAATTCTGTAAATTAAGACAGATGACTTAGTCAGATAACATCTTAACAAATTCAAGTCCTGGAGGAGAGTTAGAGATGGGCTTGCCCTGTCAGTAGAGAAGGTCTGAAGAGAATCCTTACAGAGTCAGGATTCCTTGTTGTAACTGAACTGTAATTACAGTTAGAAATATGGTTTCAGTATTTCTTCACTCCTTTTTTTGTAAAATTCAAGCAATTGGGATGGAGAGTCTCTCACCTTCTTCCATGTGCCTCTAGTTTTCTTCCATGTTTAGGTTTAATTCGCAAAACATACTTGACAGGACTGGATGGTTGGTGGCTCACTGTGGTAGGGATCAGATAGTTGTATTAAGCAATCATTTGTTTGGGCAAATAATGTTTTATGAACAGGATTTCTTAAGTCCTGCCTAGACTAGAAAACAAAACAGACTTCTCATATACGCTAACCTAGCAAGATCCTATAATTGCTAGGGAAACAGCCAAGCAACAATATTTTGCGAACTGGCACAGGGAAATAATTTAAGGGATGAATAAATATGTCTGAAGGCCCAGTAATAATAATGACCCTTGAAACTGTTTCATTTTGCTCTGGCAACCCACAGGGCTATTATCGGATTCATGATGTTGGATGATAGAGTGGCTTTGCTAGAACCAGCTTGGCCAACCTTCTGCATAAATGGGACATCTTACCAGCCTTGTGTAATCTTTCCTCTAATCCCTTTTTGGTGCCCTTTGCATGGCACGGAGTCCTCTCGGGAGAGTTAGTGGTAACAGAGATGATGTCACAATTTTCCAGCTGCTATTTAGAGGCAAAACATGTTAGGTCACAAATTTGAATATCAACCGTGCCTAGAAAAACAGGTCAACCTCAGGTGCCAAAATATCTTTTTAAAAAGGTTCCCTCAGGGAAAGGCGTTGGGCAGTTTTGAGGAAGGCTAAACAAAGCCTTTAGAACAGTGGTTCTCAACCTGTGGGTCGGGACCCCATTTGGGGTCGAACGACCATTTCACGGGGGTCGCCAAACAACGCAGTCCGCCATTTTTTCCCCCTTTTCCTTAGCTGTGCTACTCCCTTTTATTCTATTGGCTTCTGAAAGCCAATAGAATAGACTCTCTTGAATAGAGTCTAATTCTATTGGCTTTCAAATGCCAATAGGAATTGTCCAGGCTGTCTCTGCCCTGCTGAGCCTGCCAAAAGTCCCATTCTGCAAACGGTGCTGCACCAGTTGAGTAGTCTTCGACTTACGACCGGTTGAGTAGTCCTCAATTTACGACCGGTTGGAGGTCGCGGCATTAAAAAGGTTGAGAACCACTGCTTTAGAAAAATAAGAGCACCCCATCTTTGAACAATAAATACAATATGACTGGGATCAGAACTTATGGCTAATTAATATCAACATTAATTATATCAAACCAGTCAGGGTGAACAACCATTTTCTTGTTGAAGGCTGTATTTTCATGGGATTGATAGGACAGGTATATGCCAGGGGTTCCCAATCCTCTGGCTACCACCCACTACTGGGCCTTGGCTCACCTCCCTCACCTCCAAACCACCAAGTCATAAAGGTTGGGGACCGCTGCTATATGCCATTGATGGGAGGCTTTAAAGCCAGTGGATATTTCCTTCGTTCCTTTCATATCCTTTCATGCTTTCTTTCCGCTCTTTTTTCTAGCCCAGCAAACTGCCAGGAAGGGGACAAATAGCTCTTGCCAGCAGTCTGAATTAGTCACTTGGGGGGGGGGCTCTTTTAATTACGCCAAGGACAGCATAAGGTCCCTAAAGCAGTAAACTGATCATCTCTCCAGCTACATGTATCATATTTTCTCTACTAGAAAATCCGGCACTTTGGCTTGCCTTGGAAAATGTGACTTCCTAGAAGCAGTGCAGAATTTGGGGGAAGAATATGTAAACTGCCTACTGCTTTTTAAAAAGGAAGAAGCAAATGCACTGAAAAGTATCCTTAAGTGATCAGTCATTAGCGGTTGTGGGAAGGAAGCAGCCTCTGTGTTCTGAAAGCAGGCTGTTGTGTTGTATCTTGTTGGTGCTCTGTTGTGCCTGTTCACTTGCTAGCAATCTTTGCAGATGGCTGTGAATGTGTCTTGCCTTCAACAAAAGCATTTATGGTTTTAATCTGCAGATTTAGCTAAGCCTGTGGAAAAATGATTCAGTCCAAACAGATTCAGTAGCTCTGTCAGCGCAGAAGAGAGTGCCGAGTGTCACTCCTTTAACTCCTTATCTGCTTCTATAGAAGCAGCTACAGAATATTTATACCCAGTAAGTTACATAATATGCCTCAAACGTGGATGCTGTGCTCCAGTGAACAATACCATCAGAGAGTAAACTATCTAACATTAGAGTTTCAGTTGTTGGAGTAAATAGAATGTGGTGTGTGCACGGGAGGGGGGGAGCACAGTTGTTTAGTCCCAATTGTATTTACTATGCTAGCTGGACTGGTAGAAATTCATCCTATTGTGCCAGGATTTAATTAAGCACCTAAAACTGACCAAAGAGAGAAGCAACCTGGAACTAAAAAGAAATTTCCTGACAGTGAGGACAATCAACCACTGGAACAGCTTAACCCCAGAAATGGTGGGCACTCAGTCACTGGAGATTTTTAACAAGAGACTAGATATCCACCTGTCTGAGATGATATAGGTTCTCCTGCTTGAGCAGGGGGCTGGACTAGATGACCTCCAAGGTCCCTTCCAGCTCTTATTCTATTCTATTCTATTATGTGAGGCCTTTGTAACATTTGAAAATATGGAGGTAGGGAAAGTGTGTCTCTCAATCAAGTTTGATTCCTATCCTGGTGACTCCATGGAGAAGTTGATGTTACATGATGCAGGAGATAGGCCACTTCAGGATTTTCATTCAACTACTCAGTCTAGCCTACAGCTTGTGATATCCTGCTAGTCCTCCATTCAGGGACTAGCCAAGGATGGCCTTGTTTGGTTTTCTTTCAATCTAGGTTAAAAATACTTGGTATTGAGCCATGGCTTGCTAGCGTAAACCTTGCCCTTTCCAAAGCCACCAAAGAAATGTACTGCAACCCTGCCTCAGTGATAGAACATTTTGAAAAGACAAGCAGACCGCACCCCCATAAGAAAGGAACGCATGAACATTCCTAATATGCAAGATTTGGCAGGAGTAATTCAGAACTATGCCATTTTAAACCAGAATTTATCTTGTGTTTTTTATTTGACTTCAGATAAGTAAAAGAAAGTGAACTCTTTTTCGAACTGAAGTCATCCCATGGTAACCCCTGCATGATCCTATGGTCATCCCATGCATCGTAGATGCATCTGTGTAGTTTTCTTAGCAGCATTATAAAAGTGGGCTGTTGTTACCTTTTTCAATAAGTTTTTAAGACTTCCCAGTCTGGTTGACAATTCTTAGATTTTCTGATCATCTTCCATCCACTTATCAGACCTAACTTTGCTTAGCTTAGGTTAGAGTCCCTTTGCACCCATAGGAGACCTAAGTCCATTGAAGCTTATGTTCTTTTTGAAGCTACACAAGGGAATTGTCAGCAATTCTCTGGTCTAAGTTCCATCATACAGGTATACAGGTAGTCCTTGACGTACGCCCATAACGGAGCCTGCCCATAATGGTCATTATGTCGTGACAGTCTTAAAAATGGGTTGCTCACATGACCCAATTTTATAATTTTTTGTCGTTGTTCAGTGAATGCTACGGTCGTTAAGCAAACCACCAGTTTATTATAGGCGTGGTTTTGCTGAAAACTGGAAATAAGTGCCCATTATTTGGCAGGGCTGTGGTAAAACATGGGTCATATAACCGTGGGATGCTGCAAACAGCCATAAATGCTGCTGTGTTGCTGGGCTCCTGTAGTTGGGTCACGTGATGGTGGATCGTCGTAACTTCGGATCTGAGTCATAAGTCCCCTTTCCCCCCCTTTGAATGGACACTAAGTGATCGGTCATAAGTCAAGGACTACCTGTAAATAAAGTGAGGTGATAGAAGTTACAGGTAGTCTTTGATTTGTTTAGTGACCATTTGAGGTTACGACGGCACTGAAAAAAAGTGACTTATGACCCGTTTTCACACTTAACTGCCATTGCGGCATCTCCACGGTCACATGATCAAAATTTGGACGCTTGGCAACTGGTTCATATTTATGATAGCTGCAGTGTCCCGGAGTCATGTGATCATCCTGTGTGACCTTCTGACAAGCAAAGTCAGTGGGGAAGCCAGATTCACTTAACAACCGTGTTATTCATTTAACAACTGAGGCGATTCACTTAACAACTGCGGCAAGAAAGATTGTAAAATGGGGCAAAACTCACTCAACATAAATTTTGAGCTCGATCGTGGATGTTAAGTCAAGAACTACCTGTATGTATCGGTATTTTTCTCTCTCCCACCCTCCCCTGAAGATAAGTGATTAAATTAATTTTCAGTGGTTCTTACCAACCTCCTTTTGGGAAAATTTGCAAATAAATACGCCAGAGTTACTGTCTAAGTTTAAAAGGTCGTGTCCATGTCATGGAAATGCCACTTATCATTCTTCTTGCTGCATAATGATACAGCTCCCATTCTTTTTTATTCAGGGAAGGTTTCTGGTTGATGCTTCCATTCCCTTGTATTTGATTTCTTTTATTTTGTGTCCAAATAACATGCTTGCTAGAGGCTGGATGATATTATTTTTCCCTTTATATTTCCAACAATAAGGAGTTGCAGATTAAAATGTCCTTGAAATATCTGCTGCATTGAACAACAACAATAAAAGCTTAACTCTCCAAAGTTGTTTCCTTTTATAAAGACTGTTTTGGCTACCTCTCTCTTAGCCTGTAATTATTTACCTATTTAAAAGATTTGTAGACTCCCATTTAGAATAAAACCTCCCAAGACAGCTCCCTGTGTATCTTTTTGCAATAAATAATCAACTATGAATTTGTAAAAGCATAAAACATTACAGTATTAAGAAAAATAATTCAGAATGGGCTAATCATTCAAAATCTGGTTTGTTAAAAAAAATAAAATATTGCATTATGTTTACAATAGATAAAGACATATTAAATATATGCTATCATACACTTAGGCTAGAGACCAGGAGTGTGTGAATTCTAGTCCCACTTTAGGCATGAAATCCAGCTGGGTGACCGTAAGCCAGTCACTCTTTCTCAGTCCAACCCACCCTACAGGGTTGTTGTGGGGAAACAATTGGAAGATGAACTATTAGAAATGTTGTTGCTTGAGTTTTTATAAAAACTAACAAAGGCAGGATCAAAATGAATATCGGAAAGCTTTAAAAGCTCAATGTGGGGATGGAGCCCTGCATTTTCCTACTAAAACTGAGTTCCATAAATGCAGAACCATCACTCTTCCATTTTACCCACAGGGTAATGATCATTACTACAGTTTGTAGGTTTGTGAAACAGATTTAATGTTGATCTAAGAATGCAAAAAAAACCCCCAAAACTGATCAGCACAAAAGTGCAGTCCTTCATGTAACTTGAGTACAAGCTATTTATTGCTTTGAAGATACTTCTCTTGCCTGTATACCAGTGGTGGCAAACCTATGGCACAGGTGCCAGAGGCCGCACTCAGAGCCCTCTCTGTGGGCACACACACCATTGCCCCAGCCCCGCTTCCCCCCACGACCCCCTCCTCACCAGCAGCCCCCCGGGAGGAGAGTCATCCTCGAGCATGGCCCATGCGAAGCAGTACAGCCAAGGACATGGCAGCCGGCCAGCAGGTACATAACTCCGCCCTTGTGCCCTGTCGCTCACAGTTGATGCTGCGGGGTGCAGGTGGAAGGCATGGCTGCCATAGCACTGCTGGGCTGCCTGGATGATCTGCAGCAGGCCATAGAGGCGGTAGATGGCCCTGCAGGTGGGGGCGGAGCTGGGGCGGAGCAGGCAGGGGTGGGGGGCAGAGCAGGGGCATACGGGGATGGCGGGGAGGGGCCGGTTTTGGGGCACTCGGTCTCTAAAAGGTTCACCATCACTGATGTATGCCTTTGAGTCAGCTTTTCACTCCTGGGTCTGGACAAGTCCCTGGAATTGTCTTGGAAAGATTTTGGAAATAATATGCCATTGCCTCTTTCCGAGAGAGTGACTGGCCCAAGATCACCAACTAGCTTCACACCTAAGGCATGACTAGAATTCACGGTCTCCCAGTTTCTAGGTGGTGCCTTAACAGCTACACCAAATTGGCTCCTCAAAGTATACACAGTATCAGTATTTGAAATAAGACCCAATAATACTAGCTAAGTGTAAATTAGTATGATACAGACGCCAAGTGCAACTGCCCAACCATAATCCCAAACGCATAACAATTCCCATCAGTATCACACTCCTGGTAATTTTGGGACTGTTCTTAAAAGTGATTTTTTTTTTTTTGAAAGAAATACGTACTGTAAATGCCAGCGTATAAGGCGACTTCCGCGAGCGCTGAAATCGGCGCCAAAGACGGGGGTCGTCTTATACGCCGAGTTGTCTTATACGCCGGAAATACTGGTAGTTTCTGGCGTATAAGACGACGTTCTAGGAATGCGGCCCGGCTATAAAGATGGGGGTCGTCTTATACGCCGGGTTGCCTTGTACGCCGGCATATACGGGGTATTTCAAAAATAGCATTTTGAAAAACTGAGACCTTATTCGTGTATCTGCAGCCTTAGAGAAAAAATAAATTGTGCAAAACGAATACCTTCCCACCTAGCAGTTCAAAAGCATGCAAATAAGAATAACTACGTACCAACTTTGGTGGGAAGGTAACAGCATTCCATGTGCCTTTGGCATGTAGCCCTGCACATGGCCATGTGCCCTCGGAAAGGCTCTCCAAACAACACTGGCTTCCTCGGCTAAGAAGCGGAAATGAGCACCACCGCCTAGAACAGGGGTTCTCAACCTTGGCAACTTTAAGACTTGTAGACTTCAACTCCCAGAATTCCTCAGCCAGCTTTGCTGGCTGAGGAATTCTGGGAGTTGAAGTCCACAAGTCTTAAAGTTGCCAAGGTTGAGAACCCCTGCCCTAGAACCAGACATGACTGGACAGGAGGAAACCTTTATCTATTATACCGTCTTATCTGTGTTTACCCACTGAAGAATTTCTCCCAGGGCCACTGCTAGTTGTCTCTGCTTGCCCAAGACGCCAGATCACTGTTGCTCCTCCCGTGATAGGAAAGAAAGGAGAAGAGATGGCAATTAAAAGTTAAAAAAAAAAAAATCACCTTGCTCTTCCTCCACCAGTATGGTATGAGTTCCAAACGTAATCGGAACAAATGGTACTGTTGTTGCATCAAGGAGGGAGTCATTTTCATTGGATTTATATTAGTAGCCATTTTGGAAAGCAGGAACAAGTCATCTCAATATATCCAAGACCGATTTGCCACAGATAAGCATTGCATATGCATCAGCAAAAATAAAGGCTTAGTGGACCACCAATGGTGTCTGACTCACCTGCTTCAAACAGCCATGTTAGACCACACTCCTTTATGAAGAAGCTTTGAACAAGCTGTCTTAATCGTGTTGACTTCAAACAATGGTCTTAGTTAAATCTACCATTAATGAGAGTCCAGACTTAAGCTAGTCCCCTCCTTTAAAAATATCACTCTTCTGCTTAACATTTCCAAAGGGTGTAATGCTTCAGATTTAGATGTATTGCATCATCCATTGTCTTGGCCTATCAAAACAAGAGAGTACAGTACAGTGTTTAATTTAAAACTTTGCAAATCTGCCCTCGCTCGTTTTGAATGGCAGTTTGCAAAACACCGGTGCCAGACTATAAAAGAGACTAGGACAGCTTCTTATCCGTAGGGAGAAGGCTTGCACGTTGGAGGCATCGCTGGCTCATGAGACAAATCTCTAGGTAAATTCTATTCTGACATTACTGAATATTTATATATCTTAATTTCACTCAGACAGATAAGGTTCTGTTCGTTTGAAGTCTGGATTGGGCAACAGTTGGCCCTCAAGATGTCCTTAGACTATCATTCCCATCTTCCCTAGCTAACTTGTCCAGTACTGAGGAATAATGGGAGTTATAGTCCATGATCATCCAAAGGATTGCATGTCAGTCGTGCCTGCTTTAAGATAATAGCTTTTAAGAGTGCTTGTAAAAGGGACTTTTGAAATGGAGCTCAAAAACTGAACTGTTTTTCAAGCTGATAATTTTGTTCATTGGATTAAATGAGTGTAATGTAGAAATGTTTCTGCTCTAATTACAGGAATGACTTCTCAAGTCAGGATTTCAGATTATGAAATGCTATTCTAATCTATATTTAGAATACATAAATCCTTATTCCAGAATCTTTATTGCCCATACGTTTTTGAGGTTTCCTATAAAGATAATACAAAAGGCACTTAAACAATGTTTTAAATAAACTAATAAGCATAGAAACATCATAAAATTTAATTCTTACAAGCTAGTCCTAGAAATGGGTAATATTTTCTAATTCATACTTATTCAAGTACTAAAAATACTCTGTTAAGCATAGACATTGTATATTTGTAAAATCACATTAAGACTTGCTTTTAAAGTAAAATTTAGCTCTCCATCAGGAAACACTAAAGATTTTGGAAGTAAGTTTAAATAAAGTTTGTAAGTAGGTGAGTTCTTTATTTAATGAGTGGATTCATAAGCATAATTCAAAATTTTAATGACAAACTCTGAAGCTTGTTTTAATTATTTACTTATTAGGCTTATAACAACATTTAGCACTTATACTGTACAGCTACATGATATAGAAATTATTCTGATTTTTTTTTAATTTGAAATGTTCAAAAACTTTCAGTGTGGGACTCGGGCTACGTATTGTCAACAATCAAGCAGATACTTCCACCTTCATGAAAATAACCAGTGTGGGTGATTGATATGACCTTGTGTTTATTTGCTTTAGCTTTACGGGATGCCAGGAGGTGACATGGCTAAACCACTGTTAGATCATCAGAACACGGACAGTAATTTAAGCTTGGCCCCAGCTGCTGGGAGCAGGACAATTGGGATTCTGGGAAGTGGCGACTTTGCACGGTCCTTGTCTATGCGCCTGGTGTGCTCAGGTTTCAAAGTGGTGATCGGAAGTCGGAACCCGAAGCGCAATGCCAGCTTCTTTCCTTCTGCAGTTGAAGTTACATGCCAGGCAGACGCCATAAAGAAGGCCGATATCATCTTTGTGGCAATTTTCAGAGAACACTACACCACCCTCTGTGACCTCAACAATGAGCTTTCTGGCAAAGTCCTGGTGGATGTTAGCAACAATGCTGAAATAAATCATCATAAAGAATCCAATGCGGAGTATCTAGCCTCGCTTTTGCCAGCCTGCCCTGTGGTCAAAGGATTTAATGTCATTTCAGCCTGGACTCTGCAGTCAGGTCCCAGAGATGGGAACAAACAGGTAATGGGTTTTTTCCCCCTTTGGTACGTTGTGGACATACCAGCATCTCTAGGATTCTGAGATTCTCCCCTTCTAGGAAGGTAACCAGTTTCTTCGGAGTGAGCTTCAGGACCCACATGAAGCTTGAGAAAAAGGGAAAGCGTGACTTAGTATCTGCTAGTAATTAGCATGCCCGTAATGAATATCTGAATTATTTTTGCTACCCAGACAGTTGCAATCTTGCACATAGTTCTGCACCTCAAGACACAGGCATCCAATTCTGGCTGACCTTGTACTTGAGGTAGTCAAGTTCATTATTATAGAAAATTTATGATTGATTCATTAAAATTCGTATAACCAAGAACTTTAGTACCTTTTTAAAATCCCTCGCCAGGAGCCTCATGTTGTTCATAATGGAAAAATGCTTGTTTCAGCATTCAAGAATGAGGCTATCATGGGAAGAAAAGGAGCAGAAAAATAAAATCTTGTCACGTGACTCATTTTTCACAGCTGTTCCTGCTGCTGCTGCTGATGTCATTCATTTATTCATTCGTTCACATTTCTATCCCATCTTTCTCCTGAGCGCTCCTACAGCATACAGGTGGATTTCCTGTCACTTGACTCTGTGAGAGAGGTTGGATTGAAAGAGAGTAAATGGTCGCAAATCACCCAATGGTTCCAGGGTTGAGTAGGAATCTAAAATTCTCTGCTCCAAACCTTAACCACTAGGCAAACACTGTGCTGTTAAGATTCTTTTGATTGCACCATTTGCCTTGGATTCCTGGTTACAATTTCCCAGTTGTTCCCCCCTCCTTTTGTTACAGATCTTCATTTGCTCTGACAACCAAGAAGCCAAACAGGCGGTTGCTGAAATTGCTCATGCCCTGGGCTTCATCCCGATGGACATGGGTGCCTTGTTCTCAGCTCGGGAAATAGAGAATATTCCTCTGCGTCTTCTCCCCGCCTGGAAGATTCCCGTCTTCTTGGCCCTGGGCCTCTTCCTTTGCTTCTACACCTACAACTTCATCCGGCAAGTCTTGCATCCCTACATTCGAGAGAAGAAGAACAAATTCTACAAGATCCCTGTGGAGATCGTCAACACCACCTTGCCTTGCGTGGCCTACGTCATGCTCTCCCTGGTCTACCTTCCTGGAGTGCTCGCAGCCATCTTTCAGCTGTACCACTGCACAAAGTACCGGCGTTTCCCTGACTGGCTTGACCAGTGGCTGCAGCACCGGAAGCAGATAGGCCTCCTCAGCTTCTTCTGCGCAGCACTGCATGCTGTCTACAGTCTGTGCCTACCCATGCGCCGGTCCCACCGCTATCTGCTACTCAACGAGGCGGTCAAGCAGGTACGGTACTGCCCAGAGTTTGAAAATCTGACTGCTCCTTTCATTGCGTGACCTTAGGAATCCCTGGCTCCATTGCTTCATTCCAAATTGCCTCAATCCAGCAGGAGACAACCTTGTGATAGCTGGTGGGCTGTATAGGTAGTCCTTGACTTACCACCTTTGTTTAGTGACTGAGGTTACAACAGCACTGAAAAAGTTTATCACATGACCATTGCAGCATCCCCATAGTTACATGATCAAAATTCAGGCGCTTGGCAACTGACTCACATTTATGAGGGTCGCAGTGTCCTGGGTTCATGTGATCCCCTTTTGCAACCTTCTGACAAGCAAAGTCAATGGGGAAGCCAGAGGCACGTAGCAACTGTGTTTACTAACTTAACAACTATGGCAAGAAAGGTCATAAAAGGGGGCAAAATTCACTTAACAACTGTCTTGCTCAGCAACAAAAATTTGGGGCTCAATTGTGGTCATAAGTCAAGGACTACCTGTAGTTATATTTTGGCAGGATTGGGAGCAGCAGTGAATGGAGTAGATACAAAATGGGCAAGATCAGAATGCCATGGCAGCTTTTTCTTAGATTTGGGAGTGAGAGAGTTTGGAGATTGTTACTTTAGGGAGAGAGAAAAACTTCATTGAGCTTCTATCAGGATTAACCTTAACAGTTTTTGAATGTTCTCAGAAAGGCTTCATTGATTAGAGGAGCTTAAGGCCATATTCAGTCCTGGAAGTTTAGATTGCCCACTCATTCCATAATTGTAATCAGTAGAATATTTGTAGCTCAAATATTTGGTGCTCTCTAAGCTTGGTTGTGTTCTTACAGATGTTTCATTAGCACCAATGATGTTACCTTCTTTAGTAATGAAACATCTGCAAGAAAACAAGCTCAGAGAGCACCAAGGACCCCTTCATTGTGATGTTTGTACTGTTAAAAGATACAAAATTGGGGGGGTTTTCTGGCACCTTGTCTTGATTAAGCAAGCTGCCTCATATAGAACTGGCTGAGCTTTGCAACAAAACATGAAAGGGATTTTCATCCCCTTCCTCTCTCGTTTTTGGGATTTTCCATAACAGTTTAGCAAAAATTCCATGGCCATTCTTAGTCTATATTCTATATCCCAGAAAACTGGTTGTTATATTCTAGCTAGCTAAAGTCTTCCAAGCATTTCCCAAAGGCATGAATGATTCAGCCCAGGTTCCCATTTTCCAAGGACGAAGAGGAGATCTTGGATTATAGCATTCACCTGAGCCAGTAAGAAGAAAGCCGGGTCAGAAGGCATTATTCCATTTTGAACTAGATTCCTGATTGTCCTTCACCCTTCTGAGAGCTGGAAAAGTGGTTTCTTTCTACGTGGAAATCAAGACGCTTACGCCTAAGCTCAAAATCTTAGGTGTGAGTAGATTATTTATATTGGACACTGGTTGTTTCATATATCGTCCCAGTCCAGAACATACATTCCCTAGTTTGGTTATGAAATATCTGCAAGAAAACTACCAAGCTCAGAGAGCAGCAAGGACTCCTTCCATAATTCAACCCGGAGCTAGAAGTATTTTTTTTTCCCCTTTCAATATAGATTCTAAACTTGATGAAGTTTCATTGATGCCAATAAGTAAGTGAATATGAGAGGCAGTGTAGAAAAACAAAGATTTTTCATTCCTTTCTAGTTTGCCTGCATGATCTTTTGCCCAGTTGCCTTCCTATATTTGCTGCTAGGAACACAATATCCCCACCCCAGCTTTTAATTCTGCACCCATTTCTTTTTCTTGATTATCGTAAATAAATCTCAGGCAAGCTTTCCTGGCCTGTTTGTTTCTCTTCTTATGCTAGTTATTTCTCTTCTCCCCCCCCCCCTTCCCCAGCTTCATGAATCACATTGATTTAACAGAATAAATGGAAGGAGCTAAGTGTCAGTCTCTGTAATATAGTACAAATCCCATTTCTGAGGTTTTTTTTCTTCCCCATTAGCCTGAAGACCTGTCTCCTAAAAGCATTTAAACCAAAGCCCATTAAGCCCACTAAGCAGTCCAGCATTCGGAGAGTGATGCTTGTGGTGCTTTGCTTGAAACTAGAGCTGCTTTGCCATTTTAATTGTATTCTTCAAATGGCAAAATGAGGTTTGGTCTTCCAGGCACCCATTTCTTGGCATATTCCACCAGAAGTCGGTGAGAGTTATGGATGTTCTGTTTTCTTCCGGCCACATTTCAACAATATTTGGGAAATCAGTTCAGTGGCTCATACACATGTGACTGGGTTTGGAAGAACAGTGTTGTTGCCAATCCAGTTGTCAAGTCTCCTTCAGATAACCGACGTGTGGCTATAAGTGGGAATTCACTCTTTTTATTGGTACCAGATGGTAAGTGAAGGTAAGTGGGAGACAGAACTAAGTTCACGTTTTTGCTTCAAGCCACACGTGTCCAACCAGGAAAAGGAATCCGGTCAAATCTTGCTGGTTGATACAAGTTTTTGCCCAGCCTTAAGCCACATGGCACAGTTGCAAAGTTTAACTGAGCTCGGAAGCTTTTCCTTTGCAGTATTTTTATACTTTGATGTACAGTTGCTGATTGGATTGATATATGTACATCTCTAGGAGAGTCGTTTCTAAACAGATTGTGATCCAGAAAGAGTGCTCCATTCAGCCTATGAGAAACAAAACCCTAAGTAAACCTAGACGCCAGTGTGACTTAAAGGAAATTTTGGAAGGCAACACTAAAAATCCAACACATGCACGCACAGCATACTACATTGAAAACCCAGGTGAATACTCCTTTTATCCAGTATTAAGAGCAATGGGGAGGAAGCTGTAGCTGATGGCCAGTGGCACAACTGAGGCACTTGTACTTCAGTGGTGGGAGGTGACCATGCACCAGCTTAAACTATTTAAACCTATCATTGACAAATGATTATGAAACAGCCCCCCCCCACTATATGAGAAATGGGACAACTCGCTGCAGCCAACTCACCATGGCCAACTCACCATGGGACAACTCAATTTAACAGTTCTATTTAATTACTTAAATAAATTATTTTCATTTTTGCCATTCACATTTCATTCTGTCCCTCCTTTTGCATCCTTTAATGATTCTATTCCACCATTTCTTTGATGTTAGGGTCATTTTTGTCCCCCAACAAGTTGTCCTATGGCGAGTTGGCCATGGCAATTCAGCCACGGCAAATTGTCATAGACCCAACTATGTATGCAAGCTGTATGAAATCACCTAGGTCAGGGGTAGGCAACCTTGGCTCTTTTATGACTCATGGATTTCAACTCCCAGAATTCCTGAGCCAGCCTGGCTGGCTCAGGAATTCTGGGAGTTGAAGTCCACGAGTCATAAAAGAGCCAAGGTTGCCTACCCCTGACCTAGGGCAATGGTAGGAGCAGGCCAATTATTCCCAGCTATGAAAAGTTCCAGTTCATATACCTTCAAGTCAAGTGGAGGTTAGGAATCAGTATCTGGCCAGAAAACAAGTTGGCTGAAGGACAGGTTTCCTTTGTCCAGATATCCTGCAGACATTATATGGAAATTAATCCCACCCTTGGGCACTATTCAGTTCACCACCCTGTTTCCCCTTCTTGGTTTTTTTCAACATGACTTTGCCACTATTCCTTTTAGGTGGAGAAGAGAGCAGATGCCTGGGTGGAGGAGGAAGTCTGGAGGATGGAGATATATATCTCTTTTGGCATCATGGCTCTAGGCTTGCTCTCGTTACTTGCCATAACCTCACTTCCATCCATCTCGAACTCTCTTAATTGGAGGGAATTCAGCTTTGTTCAAGTAAGTGCTACAGTTCACGGGCTGTTCTCCAGAAAGAAAGACTGGTGGTGAAGGAGACCTTGTTCTTAGTCCCATTCGACAGACACATAAGGAATTTCATCACAATCCAGCTGTCTTGCTAACCATGGGTGAATGTAACTTCTGTGGCAGCATCTCTGGACTGGAGAACCAACATGCTGATGACCCCCCCCCCCCATAAATAGGGAGCAGAATGCCTTTGGTTCCAAATCATCATCCTGTGGCTTTTACATGGGATCTTCTAGCTGCACGAAAATTGCATAGCATTGCATTAAACAGCCTTAGATAAGTTAAGCTTCACCTTGGGCTCTGAACAAGATAGAAAGTAGAGTCCAGAAACTCAAATTATTACTTGATGTTGATGATTGACCATTCAGATGTTGTCCCATTCAAGGCAGCATATGTACATAGATAATGTTCTCACCTCTTATTTTCTCTACAACAGTGATGGCGAACCTTTTAGAGACCGAATGCCCAAACTGCAACCCAAAACCCAATTATTTCTCGCAAAGTGCCAGGGCTGCATCAGTATTGTGATGCCCTTAGGGGGGGGCCCACTGGGTGGGCATGACTGAAGTGGTCACAGCAGACTGGGTGAGTGTGGCCGGGCCAGTCCCTTACCATCTCCGGGGCATCCCGGGGGGGGAGCAACGCCACTTGCTCGCTCACTTCCTGCCCTGTTGCTTCCAAATGCCACGTGCTCGCTATTCTGTGAACTCTGCTGAGGCAACGGTGTGTGTGCACACAGAGAGGGCTCTGAGTGCCACCTCTGGCATGTGTGCCATAGATTTGCCACCACTGCTCTACAACAACAAAGACCCTGTGAGGTGGATTGGGCTTTTTTGCCTAAATGGAGATTAAATTAAGATCAAAAGCCCTTGGATCCTTAAGACATTCAGTCACTGGGAAGAAAGGCTTCAGGGCTATAGGAAAGCATGTCCTTTCTCAACAGAGCCCCATAATAATAACAGTTTTACAGACCCTTTTGGCAATGAGGGTGACTATTTCAATGATGGCAAAGTTGCACAAAGTGTACAAGTGTATACCAAGAAGTTCCTATAGTGTACCAAGAAGATTTCCTGTAGGAAATTTGGCAGTTCCATTGGTTTCAAGAGAGACATTGGTTCACTACAACCTTCAACTGACATACAGCGGGCTGCTTCAGGTGAAGAGGTTGCAGGCATTCCACAGGGAAGGAAACAAGAAAACAAGGGAAACTGCTAGGGACACTGGTGATTGAAACCGGTTGGTTCTAAGAAGAGAGGATTTTTTTTGCTAACCAGAGCTGTCTCATTGTCAGAAAAGAGATCCTAGCAAGAAAGTGTTCCACTTTAATGACAGAGATTTAGCTTCCATGAGAGAAAAACCAGAGTGCTGCAAAAAGATATCCCCCGGAATATAAATAGATTTTTCCAGTTCTGAAACAATTCCTAATTTTCTAGCAAAATCAAACAACGTCTCCGCTTGCTCACCAATTACCTCTGTACATCCACTTAGGTTAGTCTTTCTGTTTCCTGCTCTGACATGGCTCTCTGGGCTCTTGTTCTGATTACAGCACTCCTTTAATAAGCCAGAAAGGCAAAATCTTTTCAAGGTCAATGCTAATGACTCTCTCTGACAGGCAAGGAATCTTTCTGCCAAACAGCCTTGTGTGCTTTCAGAGATGGCTGTGGTACCATTGTGTGTAACAAGATAATGTGAAATGCATAAAAGACTAGCAGAAAATACTGTGATCCTTCCAGGAAGGATGCTTCTTCAACTAAAGCCCTGGTTTTGTTCTAATTATGATTTGCTGGATACAGTAAGTCACAGTGACTAGATTCAACCATAATACTATAAGGCATAAGCAAAGGGGAAATCCATACATACATGGATTTGCTTAAATTTATCAATATAAATAATAGAGGGGGACCCATGTCCCTCTCCAGCAAAGATTGATCTTTTTGAATTTTTTTCCCATTGGTTGAGGTTTTGCTAAAAGATTATGGCATCACACACAAGGGCTCCAAAGTTATTGACCCATTCAAGTATTTGATTAAAAGTATATGTTGGGTTAGATCTGAAGGAGGTTTAGATGATATTTGAAGTAAGAGCCCTGTCAACTTAGCTGCATATGTCTATGATGTGCAGATTAATGGCACAGAGGTTGAAGCCACGTGAAAGTTGTCAGCCATGTAAGCCAAACAAGTATTTCATATTACCAGTTGCTGCTCCTTAATGATATTTGCACAGTCTTCATTTCTAGAAGAAATGTTATAATGATTCTTTTTTGTTTTTGTTTTTTTGAAAGAATGAACTTCCTTCCCTTTCTTATTTAGACTAGTGCTCCAGCAGACAGGCTCCTTATATTACAATTCAACACAGAGCAAGACACTTTAACAGAGGGGTGTCAAACTCAATTTCATTGAGGGCCGCATCAGCACTGCGGTTGCCCTCAGGGGGCCGGGTGGGTGTGGCCAGGGTGGGTGCAGCCTACTGGGTGGGTGTGGATGGAGTGGGTGTGGACTACTGGGTGGGCGTGGCCAGCTCTACATCGTTCGTGTCAAGGGTGCCTGTGGGGGCCTGGGCAGGAGTGGGACAGATCTGAGGGTCTCTGGCAGAAGGGGTGTGGGACCAGGGCAAGTGCCAAGGCATGGTCCACTGGAGGAGCCTCACTGTTCCTCTCAGGCCATGTGGGGGGGGGGGGGCTTATGGAGCTAAGACTGAATGCGTTTCAGCATAAATGGCCACCACAAAATTGTACATTGGCTCCCAGCCGGCCTGGGCCAGGGCCAAAGCAGAGGGGGCCGTTCCCTCACTGTTTCCAGGATGGCTTCGCAGGCCGCATCCGGCCCCCAGGCCTTGTGTTTGACATGTCTGCTTTAACATATGTCAGAGCCTTGCATATTTACAAATTACCATTTTAAAAGTCAAAGCAAGCCAGATTTGCAGTCTAATATATCATTTGGGACTCTCACAGTCCCTGACTGTGTCATTGCAAATACAGGCCTCCTTCATCTCTTTGGCTGAAGAGGAGAGAATTCAGGCCAACATCTAGCTTTTATCTCCATCCAGTTTGAAGCTCACCTCACATTCAGCTCAACCAATGTCTACCAGGCTATAAACTGTAACTTAGTCTTTTGAAGGAGCAGACTAAACCTTTTGCATCCATTATGTGTTCAGTTTACAAATGGTAATGGGATTCCTCCCAGAGCCTTCCAATTTCCCGCTTCGCCATTATTTTTCAAAATCTCATTGGACTTGGGGCGTAGGTGTCCAACGCTGATCTGACTGGAAAGGGCTTGACTATATCCTAATAAAATTAACAGTTATTTTTATATATATTAACTTCTACAGAAGTTAATTTCAGGGACATTCTTCATATGCAATTCAATTGTTTGTAGGACTAAATTCTTGAGTCAAGGGATTCAGGGCTAAATAACTGCAGCGAATCAGGATAAATATCCAGGTATTGATGTGTGTTTGAAATAGAGCAGTGATGGCAAACCTTTTAGAGACCGAGTGCCCAAACTACAACCCAAAACCCACTTATGCATCATCGAGTGCCGGATGGATGTGGCCCATTGGGTGGGTGTGGCCCATTGGGTGGGCGTGGCTGCAGTGGTAACAGCAGACTGGGTGGGACTAAAAAGTTCAATCAATCAATTCCAACTTTGCAAGATCTTTTTTTTTTTCGCGAGAAGTTGAAATTGACTGATTGAATTTTTTTTTTTTTTTGCACATGGCGGGGAAGGCCTAAAGCGAAAAGGTTTTATAAAACCCAGCTGAAGGCCTAGGACTGGGGCAACGGCGCACGTGCCCACAGAGAGGGCTCTGAGTTCGCCGCCACTGAAATAGAGTATATAAAAGTTAACCTTACAGAAAATAACAGGTCTTTATTCCTCCCCACTTTTTTTTTAGTCGACCCTTGGCTTCGTTGCTCTAGTGATCAGCACGCTCCACACCTTGACCTATGGCTGGACAAGAGCCTTTGATGAAAACCAGTACAAGTTTTACCTGCCTCCCACTTTCACCCTCACTCTCCTGGTACCATGCACCATAATCCTAGCTAAGCTCTTTTTCAACCTTCCTTGTGTGAGCCAAAAACTGCAGCGCATCAGGAGTGGGTGGGAGCGGAGCAGGAACGTCAAATTCACGTTGCAGAGAGCATCTGGGGAATTTTCCAGTGGAGAAAGCAGCAGCACTGTGTGATGCTGGACCTCTGTTTCCATTACAATTGTGAAGAAGCATTCTGATTCTGTTTTTATTGTGTGCGTGTTTTTTTTTTTTTTTTTTTTAAAGCCTATTTGGGATCATTAAACAGTGGGTAATCTTATTCCAGGAGAAAGTTTTCAAATAGAGTCAGCTTACACATTGAGAATACACTGATAATTTCCTAGGTTATAAAAAGGTTGCCTTAAAACAGGGGTAGTCAACCTTGGCACTTTTATGACTCGTGGACGTCAACTCCCAGAATTCCTGAGCCAACTAAGCTGGTTCAGGAATTCTGGGAATTGAAGTCCACGAGTCATAAAAGAGCCAAGGTTGATTACCCCTGCCTTAAAACATCGGTGCAGAATTTTAGGTTCTACCATTGAAACATACATAAGGAAACACAAGCATTCTGCTCCTTTAACACAGGGATAAAAGGGAACACTAGAAATATTTTGTTTTTCCCTGATGGCAGTCTTCTTTTTTTTTTTTCATGTGGCTGCAATCAAACACTCATGAATAACATTTGGACTTATTTCTGAGCAGGAATTACTTTAGCTCAGTGGTTCTCAACCTTTTTAATGCCGCGACCCCCCCCCCCAACCGGTCGTAAGTCGAGGACTACTCAACTGGTCGTAAGTCGAGGACTACTCAACTGGTGCAGCACCGTTTGCAGAATGGGACTTTTGGCAGGCTCAGCAGGGCAGAGACAGCCTGGACAATTCCTATTGCTTTTGAAAGCCAATAGAATTAGACTCTATTCAAGAGAGTCTATTCTATTGGCTTTCAAAAGCCAATAGAATAAAAGGGAGTAGCACAGCTAAGGACAAGGGGGGGGAAATGGTGGACTGCATTGTTTGGCGACCCCCGTGAAATGGTCGTTCGACCCCAAATGGGGTCCCGACCCACAGGTTGAGAACCACTGCTTTAGCTGCTTCTACAGGACATTTAGTATGCTAATGTTGTTCACTGATAAGATTAGCGAAGGAGATTCTCTAGCAAACGAAAGATGTTTAAATTCTGTGAAACTGACTTTTCAGCTATATCCAACCCTTTATCAATCAAACAATGAGAACTGATTCTCACAAATAACAAACATCTAAAGCTGAAAAAGCTTCTTGAATGAGAAGCGAAATGTCTTCAAAGAAAAGCAAAGTCCAGTTGCCTCTTGAAAAAGCACCTTTGGGACATGACCTGGATGTCTGAGAATATAGACATTTAACAAACATCTAGTTATTAAAGAAAATACTTTAATTTACAGGAGAAGGGGGATCGACTGTACTGCCCAGAAGTTAGTCAGTGGAGGTTGGGGAGGGTTATTTTAAATACCTTGCTGCTACTTATGTAGCAACTGTGCTTTAATTCCTTCCACTTGTTCCAAAACTTTTCAGCATAATGTTATTTCTATATATAACATGGCAGGGGGCAAAGAAGCTTTGGGGCTGCAATATCAGCTGTTATGGAGACAGAATTAAATATTTTATATATCTACACATAACTGCCGCATATTAGACCCATTTCTCTTACATGGACAAATTCACACGTAGGTTATTTGATTCTTCTGAGTGAATGCAAGTGTAAGTATACCACAGATTCAGGCTGATATCCAGCCTATAATCTGAAGACCACGTGTGCTCCCTGGTGTGGTTAGAGAGAGAGAGGGAGGAAAGGAAGGAAGTTACTTCCATCTATTTCAAAATCTTGGGAGATCACCAGGTCTCCTAAAATGTTGGCATCCTTGCGTAGAACCTAATGAGCTTTAAGATATAATCTCATGGTAATCTGAGATTGGATCTGTTCTCGTGCAAAAAAAACACAAAAACAAGTTGTTCACAGATTACTGTACACTCACTGCATTACAATGGCCTTAAAAAGCATTTAATGACAGTGAATTCAGCTAGATAAAACATTTTGGAACTGCTGCTCTAAATCAGCAGCCTCTTAGCACTTCAATCAGTTAGGTAAAATAAACTTGGGATTCCTTTTATACTTGGTATTAGCAAAAGTTGCTCTTCCGTTCTAAAGAACTGGCCCTCAGGCGGGCAGTCATCTGCTGTTAGACTTATTGTAGTTACGCCATTCTGAATATTTTGTCCTGCGTCTTTACCCACTAGCACTATCATTCTCTTGTTTCCTCATTATGTCAGCCCTGAGGTAACATAGAAGGAAGGGCTTGCTTTTCCTGAATAGTTTGAGTGAACTGCTTAGAACAGGGGTCCCCAACCTCCGTGGCTACTTAGGAACCGGGACGCGCTGCTGGAGATGCACTGAAGGCACGTCTTCCACCTCCAACTATGCAAGTCTGCAGGAGTCGGTGCTGGGGAGGGAGAGTGGTGGACCAGAAGCTGTCTTACCCAGTGCAAAGGTCCTCCGGGCAGCTGAGCTTCCTCCTCTGGCTCCCTTCATGCAGCTCTCCAAGTTTGCAAGACAAGCAGGCGTGCAACCGGGGGTTCCCCCAAAGCTTTGTTAAAGGGAGACTCCCTCCCCCAAGGTATGTGTGTGTGTCTTTTTCTCAGGGTGCAAATAGGGGCTGGGAGAAGCTACCTTTTACCTTAAGCAAGAGAAGCCCTCTCTCGTTTGCATCTTGTCTTAAGAGTGCTGGGCTCCATTGCGCTTCAGCTGGAGTTTTTTTTTTTCTTTTGATGCACCAGGATGCCTTGTGTTTTGGCAACATCCTGCCAGCTTTTCGTGGCGCGCGCGCGCGTTTAAAAGGCTTTCACTGCTTGGAAACCAAGCCTTTGCAAGCTGAGGCAGCTGCATACTTTGGGTTTCTTTGCAAAGAGGCTTTGTGCTATGCCGAGTTGGTTTGGTCTCTCGTTTCTTTGTTTTTTAAGGTTTTCTCAGCGCTTCCTCCTGATACCTCTTCCTCCTCCTCTTCTTTCTCACTTTCCTCCTCTCCCCCTCCTGGCACTCCAACCAGGCTCACACTCCTTTCTGCATACAGCTCTCCAAGTTTGCAAACCAAGCAGACTCCCACCCGGCTTGCAGTGGGGGAGGGGGAGGGAGAAGCTACGTTTTCCCTTAAAGTTAAACGCTGCGCCTCCAAGACAATCCCTCTCTCATTTTGCACCTTTTCCAAGACTGCTGGGCTTGCGCAGAGTTGAGCTGGTTTGCTCTCTAATTTTCTCAACACTTCCTCAACAACGTGCTGGGTCTTTGGTTTGTTTTGCTGGAAGGCTGAGTTAGGATTGTCTGTCCCTTCCCTTCTAATCTTGAAGAGAAACACTATACTGAACCATTGAAAAGTGCAGACGGCCATTCACACCTATTTCTGCTTCCCCCCCCCTCCCCCTTGATTGCGGGTTTCTTCTGGAGCAGAAGCAGAGCTACTCTTTCAATGAAGGTTTCTGATTTTCTTCCAGAGCAGAACAATAAAGCCTCTTCCTGTGAAGGTTTTTTTTTCCATGGCTTTATTCTGATTCGCCCCCTCCCACCCAGAAAAAGAAAGCCTCTTCCAGTGAAATTTTCCCTGTGTGTTTATTCTGATTTCCCTCTGGAGCAAAATCATCTGGTGGCAGGCCTTGAGTCAGAATCCCACACTTATTTTAGTCTGTGCGTGGCCTGACCATTATTTCATTTACCACTTCTGTCTGTGCCTCTTTTCTGAAGTGCACACTTGTCTCAGTCACAGTTTTGGTAAGCCCACGCGTTAAACCTAGCCAAAATAAGTAAAAAACAAATTTCACTGGAGAGCTTCTTTGAAAAGGGGGAAAGACCCAGTGATGAGATAGCAGAAGACTCTAAGACTGCCAATAAAAGGAAATCTACATTTAAAAGAAAATACCAATAGTCTTACTTAAATAACAGGTTCCTTGCAACAGGTGATTCACATGCTCCAAGCCTGCTTTGTATAATATGTGGCGGCTGTTGAGCCCGTGGCGGGAAAACAGACACGAGAAGCAGCTGGAGTTCTCAGTTTCTTTTATTCAGCGTTCAGCTTACAGGAAGATGGCTTCAGCCTCGCCCAAACGCCTCGCAGCCTCTTATATAGGCAACTCCCGGGTAAATGGGTTACTTTTCCCGCGCCAGCACCCGCGCATGCGCACGGCGCTGGCGACAGCCTGTCTGGTCCCGGGCAGCTTTGCACCTGCCCGGGACTGCCTGCAAACGCCCGAGCCGTTTGCAAAGGCTCGGGACATAACACCCCTTTCCCCCGGGCTAAAACTACTACCAACATACAACATTTATTTTATATGACATTTTGCTCCCCAGTGCTCCCACTGTTTACTGGCTTTTGCCTTGCCAGCAATGTTATGTAATCTTCTAGATACTTAGGAGATTTCTTTGCTCTCTGTGACCTTCTTAGCTCTGGGTTACTGGCATAAGTCCCCTGACTGGAGGGAGGCGTGAGCCTGTTCTCTCTATTGTGCCCTGGTGTCTTCCAAGGACTGTGCCCCGATGCCTGGCCTGCTTGCTTGCCCACCGGGCTCGTCAGGCCAGGGCTTCTGTTGCTTTGTGACCTGGTTGTCCTACCTAGCTGTAGACCCTCAGGCCCCTTGAAGTGATAGCCACTGCTGGGCGTCTCTGTAGAACCTCCTAGGTCAGTCCAAGACCTGTCAGGAGGCTGTCCATTCCCTGAACCCCATTCTGTGCTCGGGCTCGTGTGGGTTTCTGTACTTTCCCAAAACTCAGGTGTTCCCTGATTTGTGCTAGGGGTGTTGTAGTCGGGACTTGGTTCCTCGACTAGCTCTGTGTATGTTTGACCCCCTGTAGGATTTGGGGTAAGGTCAGGCCAACCTTGGGAATTGTGTGCCAGCTCTCTTGCGGGGAATGATTTGTTGGGATGCCCCCGGGTATCCTCCGTTACTGGAGTGCTGTGTGATGTGTGTGGAAAGTGAGTATGCCCCCGGGGTGACTCCCTGGCTGGAGTAGGCGTGAGTGCCTGTTGTGTGGGTAAGCTCCATGACTTTCTTTTCGGAGCAATTGCAGAACCCTGAGATGGGCCATTTGTGGCTCCCTCAGTGGAGGTGGGCAGTAGCTCTTGCCCTTCCCTTTGCTCCAAAGGGTCCCCCTCCCCCCCTGGAAAAGACCCAGGAGTCTCATCAGAAAAGTCTCGCCTAGAGCGAAGTTGGTCGATGTGCCGCCGCAGGACACGACCGTTGTCCAGGGCAACCTCGTAGGAGAGAGGACCTGTGATCCTGGACACAGAAGCGGGGACCCATGTATGACCAGGCCCGTAATTGCGAGCCCAAACCGGGGCACCCACAAGTAGTTGTCTAGGTGCCCTAGGATGTGAGGTAGATGAAGGCAGTCTGTCCGGATGCAACCGGTCAAGTCTAGTAGTAAGTTGGCGCCCCCAACGAAGTTCAGCTGGACTTCTCCCTGTAGAAGTGGACGGTGTGGTGCGATAAGAAAGGAGAAAGTCAGCCAACCTGTGATGCCAGTCCCCGTAGGTGAGTCTCTTCAAGGCGTCCTTTGCGATGCGCACCATGCGTTCAGCCATACCGTTGGTGGACGGGTGAAAAGGCGCAGACGTGGCATGACGAATCAGGTTTGCCTGTAAGAAAGCTTGGAATTCGGAGGAGGTGAATTGAGGGCCGTTGTCGGACACAATGACATCTGGCAGCCCGTGTGCAGCAAAAATCCCCCTCAGTACCTGAATAGTCTTTGCAGTGGTGGTGGATGAGACAGGCACAACCTCAAGCCATTTTGAATGGCTGTCAACAAGGACCAAGAAGAACTGGCCCTGAAAGGGCCCAGCGTAGTCAATGTGCACCCTAGACCATGGGGACTGTGTTTCCTCCCATCTATGCATCTAGGAGCTTGGGGCATCTCTGGGCGAGATCGTTGGCACAGGTGGCATGCGTGTACCTTAGCCTCAATATCTTTATCTAAAGCAGGCCACCACAAGTGGCTGCGTGCAAGAGCCTTCATACGAACAATGCCAGGATGACCCTCGTGGAGGGATTCTAAGACCCTAGTCCTCATTGAGGTGGGAATGACAACTCTGTTTCCCCAAAGCAGACAACCCTGAGAAAGGGACAGTTCGTTCCTTTTGGACCAGAAACTCTGAAACTCAGGACTAGGGCAGTGCTCAGGCCACCCGGACAGGACCCAGGAGCGGACACGTGAAAGTGTGTGATCTGTACCTGTTTCAGCGGTAACATCCCTGGCACTAAGAGGGAGCTCGGGCAAGGCTTGGATTGATAGAATGTTGACAGCTGGCGCGGGGTCAGCTTCTACTACTGGCAGAGGCAACCTACTGAGGCCATCAGCATGGCCCATTTCTTTCCCAGGCTTGTGGAGTAATGAAAAATCATATGCAGACAAAAAAATAGACCACCTAAGCATTCTAGGGGAAATGATGTGGGGAGTCTGCTTACGTGTGGTAAACAGTCCCAGCAGAGGCTTATGGTCAGTGAAGACCGTGAAATGCCTGCCATATAGAAAATCGTGGAATTTTTTAATTCCAGCAACAACAGCCAGAGCCTCCCTGTCTATCTGAGCGTAGTTGCGCTCGGCAGAAGACAATGTTCTGGAGTAGTATGCAATAGGAACCTGAGTTCCATCAGACCTGAGGTGACTCAGGACAGCTCCAACCCCGTAGGGGGACGCATCACAAGCGATGCACACAGGAAGGGACTCGTTGAAATGTGCAAGAACACTGTTAGAAGTGAGCAAGGCCTTGACTTCTTTAAAGCAAGCCTCATGTGCTTGTGACCACAGCCACACAGCATGTTTGTCTAGTAGCCTGTGAAGAGGCTCAGCTACACTAGCTTTATGTGGAAGAAAAGAATTGTAGAAATTCAGGAGGCCTAAGAAGGCCTGAAGTTCGGCCTTAGACTTTGGCCTGGGTGCTTCTAAAATAGCAGTTAGTTTGGATTCAGCAGGATGAATCCCAGCAGCATCAATTTTGAATCCCAAAATTCAGTAGAAGGCACCCCAATCTTGCATTTGTCTTTTCTGAGCTTGAGGCCTGATTTCCTGAATCTTAACAGGACAGCCCTAAGCCTTTCAGCTAAATGTGTGTGGAGTCTCCTGCAATGAAGACATCGTCAAAATAGGGGCAGACCCCTGGTATACCTCGTAGTGTGTTTTCCATTACGCTTTGGAAAATCCCAGGAGCGACATTCACTCCAAACTGTAGCCTTTTTACCTTAAAGGCTCCCCTGTGGGTCACAATGGTCTGAGCTATGGCAGCATCATCATCAACAGGCAGCTGTTGATATGCTTGAGCTAGGTCAAGCTTTGCAAAAACACGCCCCCCCTTGAGAGAGGCCAGGATGTGACTGACCACAGGAACAGGATAGGCATGTTGCTGCAATGCCTTATTGAGTGTGCATTTGTAATCAGCACAAATGCGAATGTCCCCATTTGCCTTTAGAGGCGTGACAATGGGGGTCTCCCACGGGCTGGAATCAACAGGTTCTAGGATTCCCTGTTGGATTAGTTTGTCTAATTCAGTATCAATCTTACTTTTTAAAGCAAAAGGGACCCTTCTTGCTTTAATCCTAATGGGAGTGACAGTGGGGTCTAGCTTTAAGGACACAG